ATCCCTTCGGATGTCGAGCTGGAGGAATCACCAGGGCCCCTTCCTGGATTTTGGGTTCTGACCCATGAGGGTATTCTATGCGCGTGGTGGGTAGTCTACAACGACTCCATCAGGCAAGGCACATCTTATCCTCATCTAACTGCTGTAGAGGGCTCTGCTGCCCCTGCACCAGTTCAGGCGGCTCCAGCAGCAGCAGCAGCACCTTCTGCATCTCCGTTTGGTAACGCCTCCGCCTTCGGCTCATCAGCTGCCGCTCCCGCGTTTGGCTCGTCCTCTCAACTTGGACAAAAGCCTTCGCTTTGGGGTTCAGGAGGCTCCAGCGCCGCAGCCCCCAGCACGGGTGGTGCTGTGTTTGGATCGAGCGGCTTCAGCAACGCCGCACCCTCTTCCGCACCAGCTTTCGGCAAGCCCAGCGCTATTGGCTTTGGACAGTCGTCACAAATGGGCGCGAAGAGCTCCCCTTGGGCGGCTGCATCAACTGGAACGGGATCGACTCCTGCTTTTGGACAGTCCGGCTTCTCGAGTTTTGCGAATAACAACAACAACACCAGCCCCTTTGGCAAGGCAGCCTCATCTAGCCAATCAGGTGCCTCTGGAGGATTTGCTGGTTTCGCCAGCCAAGGCGGCTTTGCTTCTGTTTCTAACAACAACACCAGCAACAGTGTATTTGGCAGCGGAGACAAGCCAGCAGCAAGTCCTTTTGGCTCTACCTCTAAGACAGAGACAGCTTTCCCCTCCAAGCCTGATCAACCTTCCAGCAATCCATTCGGCTCCACCCCTTTCAAGCTAGAGAGTTCATTCAAGCCGGATGGATCTGCCAAGGACGATGTTAAACCAAGTGGACAATCCTCCATGTTTGGAAGTGGGTTTGGTTCTGCTCTTAACGACGCTGCTAGCAAACCCGCCATCACCACAACTGCGGCGAAGGATGAGGATATGGATACTGCTCAGACGCCCCAAGAGACTCCCGCTAAACCCAAAGGCTCGTTATTCCCTACGCCCCAGAGCCCCGAATCTACCACACCGACAACTACCCCAGCGCCCTCCAAGTTTGGATTTGTTACCTCGCCTGCCCCCCAAAGCTCTGTCTTTGGACAGCCTTCCAAGTTTGGTTCGTCGACATTGTTCGGTACCAAGTCAGAAACCCCAAAACCCGGTGGCTTGTTTGGATCCTCATCCTCTACACCCAAGCCTGGAGGTCTTTTTGGATCACAGCAAAACACGCCCAAGGCAAGTATATTTGGATCTCCTCAGACGGCGGCCAAGACAACCGGATATACGGGGATTTTCGGACAAAAGTCAGTTCCAGATGCGGACACACCAAAGGCCAAGGTGGAACAAGACGCTCCCCTGCCTCCTGATACTACGAGCAGGACCGCCTTTCCTCTTGGCGATTCGTCTTCTTCATCAGCTACTTCTGCTGCTCCTAATCCATTCGCAGTGGCGACAGCTCCTGCTAAACCCGAGGCAGCTCCTTTGCCGCCAGACTTCATGTCAACGAGAAAGACGAGCAAGTCTGCAGACTCGGCGAAGTCAAGCGATGCTACAGACGCCCCATTGCCGCCCGACTTTGTCAATGTGTCCAGGCCCTCAGAAAAGTCGACGGCTGCACTAAGTGCCCCTTTGCCGCCGGATTTTACCAAGCCGGCAAAGAAGCCAGACGATGCTCCCTTGCCCCCCGATTTTGTTCTTCCCAAGGTCCCCTCAAAGGAGCCTTCCTTTGTGCCCTCGGTTCCCGAGTCAACCGAGGATGAGAGTGATTTGGAGGATGAGGATGAGGATGAGGATGACGACGATGGCTCCGAAGGTAGTGGCATCGACGTTGCCAAAGATCTGAGCCCAAGCGTCAGTGGCCTGACCCCCACGCCAGGTTTTACTCCTCAAAGCTCGTTTGGTGGTCTGGGCGGACCTGCCCTTGGTAGCAGCAGGGCCAACCAAGAATCATCCCGGCCCCTGTTTGGTGAAATCAGCCGCAATGCTCCCTTGTTCCCACGCCCGACTGCGACCAGCCCCAGGTCCCCTAGCCCGGTTCGGAGTGCTATACCAAACCGAGTGATGAGGTCGGAAGCTATGAGGTCAGTGAGTGCCCCCGGAATGGCATCGCAAATCCTCGGACCCAGACAGTCTCAGATGGGGGCTTCTATCACAAGTAGGGATACCAGCGCGCCGGAGGATCCCTTCATGGTCCAGCACCGGAAGTTGAAGGCGAAACAGGAGGCAGCGGAGACCCAGCCTCTCGTGGATGAGGAGGATGACGAGGTGCAGAAGATTCTTGCATCTGAGGTTGAGGGCAGCTTGACGTTGGATGAGTTCGTTGCTCACTCCAACGTTGCGCCTCCCGCCAAGGAGAGCATCCCAAGCCAAGTCGAGGCAGTCTATCGAGATATTAACTCGATGATTGACACGCTCGGCCTCAACGCCCGCACTGTCAAGTCATTCATCAAGGGTCACACTGAGGAATGTAAGCAAGGTGGACGTACCAAGGATGACCTCGAGGATCCCGATGATTGGGTTCTTTGCGAGATTGATGAGCTTGGGGAAGTTCTGGACAACGAGCTGTACCCGGATCTTGAGGATGGTCGTGTTCGTGACTTGGAAGCTAAGCTCGACGCATGCCACGAACTGACAAGAGATATGCACCGCCTACGGGCTAAGCAGGAAGATCTCAAGAAGATCCTCATGATCAGGACGGACCCTGACCAGGCCGAAGTGACACGGTCTATGCCGCTGAGCGCGGAGCAAGCAACACAGCAGAACGAACTCAGACGGGAGTTTGCCAAGTTCTCGAAGCTTGTTGCCGAGGCGGAAGAATCGCTGACGCTGCTCAAGACACGAATTGCATCAGTGTCGAGCGCTTCAGGCAAGGGCAAGACAGCCGTGCCGACGGTGGACGCCGTGATCCGTACCATTACCAAGATGACGGCCATGGTTGAGAAGCGAAGTGGGGACATTGATGTCCTGGAGAACCAGCTGCGCAAGGTCCATCTGGGCGGTTCGAGCCGAGAGGGATCCCCAATGACACCTCAGGCAAGGAAAAGCATCATGTTCTCTCCTGATTCGACGCCTGCGCGAACTCTTCGTCACAGTTTCGCGGGCAGCATTTCCCTGGGTGCGTCGGTGCGGGCTACCCCCCCTCGCAAGAAGCTCAGTGGTTTCAGCCGGGAAGAGAAGGGCGATCTGATGGAGAAGAGAGCGCGCAGACAGGCTGTTCTCCAGAAGCTGAAGGGGAGCGTCGAGAAGAGAGGCGTCAATGTATGGAACATGGAGGATATTGAATAATGGCAAGACTGGGATATGAGTAGAGAGAAGTTGAGGATGAATAGCATATGAAACAAACGAAATAACCAAGCAACTGTAGTTTAGAGCTTAGATAGTGTATCAATTGGTCGGGAGAAGCACTCAGCTAATGTATTCTTTGGATTCTGGACTTGTCCCGGGTTAATCAAGTAGTTGGAGAAAAAGAGAACGGTTTGAGGTTATCAAAATGATGTCAAGTTTTTATTAATTCCTTCTTTCCTATTGCTTGGCCCAAAAAACACCTGACTCCATGGGTATTCATCCCCAGACATTAATTAAGATACATGATGCGTATGAAGCCGAATCGTCGACTTAAGAGGTAGTGGTAGAGGGAACAGATCGAGGGACGGCAGGCTTGGACTCGACAGCCGGGGTCTCAGTGGGCATGGTGCGAGGGATAGCAGCCGTGGGCGAAGAAGGAACTCGGCAGTGGTCCTTGTTCTTGTGCTCGGGGTGAGTTCGAGGAGTGTAGCTGAGTCTTGTTAGTATTGCGAGTGTTTTGATTGGAGCTGAGGTGAGGGGTGAATTACTTAACGAAGGAGAGCATCTTGAAGGTTGTAGTGGGTTGGTTATGGTTGTGTAGTTGATTGAGGCTTTGAGTGTCTTGATTGTCAAGGCTGATTGATTGCTTTGATGGTGATGATGGATTGAGTGAATAGATCGACACCAAGAGGGAACCAGTCAGGCATTATATACTTTTGGAGTCTGGCAGAAATCTTTCAAGGCCGGACCGGTTACCGTTCTGGTGACTCCAAGGGAGCCCTCTACGTATGACCGGCATCGCATCTAGGTAGTACTCTGCTGAGGGACAGGGATAGGCTACTGGAAAGCTGGGCACGGGACTGACGTCGTCCGGGTTGCCCGGACAGGGAAGCGATGGGGGGGGAATCTCTGCTCCTTGCAGCGGGGGATCAGAGGGTGCGCGTGACGCCTTCTTGCTTGCGCAGTTGCTCGTCCGTGAGATCCTTGCCCAAAGAGCAGCAGCCCAGGGGTCCCAGGTTCGCGGAGAATGCTGGGGGTGGTAGTGGGCATGTGCTGATCTGAAAAGGCCGGCCCGGTGAGCGGCGAGTACGGAGTACCGTGGCCGTATAAGCGAGAGGCTCTGCTTTTGGTTTCTCAGGGATCTCTATGGTTTTCTTTTCTTGTTCGGAGGCGAGGCCGAAGTCGCAGTTCTTGATGAGAGCAAACACACCTGCCAAGTATGAATCATGACACTTTTTTTATCATGGTTATTATTTGATAATTCAATTCTGCGATTGAGTGATTGACTGCAATCTTCATTCCACACTCTACATGATTTGACACTCCACATGATTTGACATCTGCCCCTCGACTCACATCGGCCCATTCTTTCTTCACTTTCAAAAACTCCGGTCGTCCTTTCTGGTGGGGCTGCGCCGGTCCGCTTTCACATTTCAATGGGAACAGCCACCGAAGCTTAGGCCAAGGTCACCGGTCGTCGGTCTCGGGGTGGGGCCATGTCTGCGCCGTGCTGCAGTGGGTCTCTTCCTTCTGCTCCTGCCTTTCTAAATTTTTATGTGGGGACATTTCTTCACCTTGGTTCACCTTGATTTTTTTCACCGTTCACCGAGGAGGGGCATCTTTCAAAAAATTGTTTGGTTCTGGTTTCTCTACCCAGCCATCACACCCAAACCTGCCTGTACCTATATTCCAAACTCGCGCGAGCGCATAGTGATTTCAAGATGCATCCCACACAGCAGGCTGCGTGGAGGAGGGCTCCCGATGCGGAGGAAACTGCGCGCCGCCAGGTAAAATGTCAATTGGTCCCTCTCAAAGTTGTAGGTCTAACTTTTCCATGCGACAGACCGTCGGTATCAACAAGGAGACGGTGACCAATATCTCTTCGACCGACTACCCCGGACATCACCCCGGCGAGGACGCCGCCTTCACCATTGAGCGGTTCCGCGAGGGCTTCTCTGTGGGATTTCACCAGAACGACCAGTTCCTGTCGTCCTTCTCCCTCGTCGGCATCGACGCCTCTCTCGCCAACGCCTTCCGCCGCATCCTCCTCGCCGAGATTCCCACGCTCGCTGTCGAGAACGTCTACATCGAGAACAACACCTCCGTCATCCAGGATGAGGTCCTCGCCCACCGACTCGGCCTCGTCCCCTTCAAGGGTGGCCGAGAGGGCCTCCGCGACTTCCTTAAGTGGTATAAGAAGCCCGAGCCCGGAGAGGACCCTTTCTCAGGCTGCTTCGACTACAACACTGTCCGCCTTGAGCTCAACGTGACGTGTACCGTGAACCCGGACGCCTCTCCCACCGAAAACGATCCCCTCAAGGCCTACAACAACGCCCACGTCTACGCCCGCGACATCGTTTTTGTACCCACGGGGAGACAGGCCGAGTACTTTGACGGGGAGGACGCCATCGCCCCGACGAACCCGGATATCCTCATCGCCAAACTGCGCCCGCGCCAGACCATCAACCTCGCCATGCACATGCACAAGGGCATCGGCGCCGACCACGCCAAGTTCTCCCCCGTTGCGACCGCCTCGTACCGCCTCCTGCCTACTATTACTATTACCAAGCCCATCCTGGGTGCCGACGCCGACAAGTTCGCCAAGTGCTTCCCTCAGGGTGTCATTGGTCTTGAGCGTGTCACTGCCGAGGAGGCTGCGCAGGCTGGTAGCGGTTACGAGGGACACGAGGGCGAGACCAAGGCCGTGGTGGTGGATGCCATGAAGGACACGGTCAGCCGTGAGGTCCTGCGGCATGAGGAGTTTGAGGGCAAGGTCAAGCTGGGCCGGAGGAGGGATCACTTTATCTTTTCCATCGAGAGCACGGGGCAGTGGGACAGCGACGAGCTCTTCCTCGAATCTGTCAAGCACCTCAAGCTCAAGTGCAAGAAGCTTGAGCAGCAGGTCGTCAACATGGTGCGGTAGTCAAACAGGGCAAGCATGCATGCGTGGTTCTTGGGGAGTCTTGATTGTTTAGGTTGTTCTCTATTGCGGCTGTATCATAATCGTCTTGTCTTGTTGCTGCTACTTCATCTTTTTCTTGCGGTCTCTACGGTTAGATAAAAAGGAATGATACCATGACCACCTTCTTCATCTTCGCCAGTCAATTCTTCTCCATTTCATCATGACAACTTATCGATGCTCACTCCTTCTATTCTTCTTGGTTGTGTCTGCGTCGTCAAGTCTTTTCAGCATCATCATGTCCAACGCCCGAAAATGCCCAAAATATCCCAAACGCCGTGTCTATCTCCTGACCCCCCCAATCACGAACTCGTCTTGAACTTGAGGAAGAAGTTGAATTCGAGGGGGAATGCGGGATCGGTTACTACAATCTCCTGTCCTTCCTCAAGGCCAAGTTCATTGAGTGACTTGTCTAGGTTGGGACGTGTCTGCTCCTCTAGGCTAGGTGGGAACTGCATGTACAAGGTCTTGCTCTCGGCGCGGATGGATGGCTTCTTGAGCTGGGCCTCGGGCCGTATAGCGAACGAGTCGATAAGGTCTTGTAGAGTAGTCTTTGGGTCGACTTCGAGAGGACGGGCTTGGCGTCCGCAGACGGGGCAATCATCCTTCTTCTCGTGCTTAAAAGTATAAGTGTAGATGCTATCGTTGCCCGAGTACATCATATAGTTGGACTCGAATCCCAAACATGGAGCCGAGCCGGTGGCAATCTTGAAGGCCTCGTTACAGCAGGCGGCAGCAATGATGGCATTGGTGGATGCGATGGCCGGGATAATGTTCTTGATGGTACCTTGCGTTAGGGAATACGTCACGCCTGAGATGCCAAACTCTTGGGCGCGGATCAGGGCCTTCTGGAACAACCAGGTGACGTGCTCCGGATCATCCTTGTCGAGCTTGGGGAACGGCTTCTCCTTCTCCCAGGCAATGACATGGGCCCACTCGATGCAGTGCTCGGGCTGTCGCGGGATCGAGGCGATGGTGCAGAGCGGGACGGCTGCACGTGGGGCGTGCATGTCCAGCTGGCACTCGATGCACGAGGTTATTGATGGTATGATGACTCTGGCCTGGCCCTTGAAGCCCTCGGTGCCGCCGTCGATGAGTGGCTTTATCGCATCGGGGTCCTTACCCTCCTCCGCGATGGACACCAGCATGGCGTTGATCCACCGACGCGCCTCGATGCTGTCCAGGCCGCAGATGATGAGCTGGAACTGGTTGTAGAACTCCTCGTCAAAGTCCTGGATGCGGTTGTTGTGCGCCGTGATGGACACACCCTTGACCCTCTTCTGTACGAACTCGGCGGCCACCTCGGCCTTGTACTTTCCGACATCGGACTTGCGGAAGAGGAACTGTCGGTTCAGGTTGGAGATGTCGATGGTATCTGGAGAGCGCCGTGAGCTGATGGCCATGTCAGTAGCGGTGGAGGGGATGGCGGACGGACCCATGTCTATTACGTGAATGTTTTTGAATCGCGACATTGCGAGGTTCTTGAGGATTTCACATCCTAGGCCACCAGCGCCGCTGTTATAGTCAGTACGGGTACGGATCGAAGCTTGGGGGGTATAGACTGACATGACACTGGCGAGGTTAGCACGATAGCTCCAGATAGCTCGAACGGGACGACTTACAGAATCTTGAACTTGTCAAACTGCTCGAGAAACTCGGGACCGGTAGCATCGGGGTCGGTATAAGGGCCTGGATTTCGACGAATGTGGTTGAGATACTTCCTATGGTTGCGGTCAGCAGGTGATGGATGGTCGACTAGGTAGCTAGCTCCCTCACCATCGTCTCTCTTCAACGTCGGCCGCTGAAGCAGGAGCCGCAGCAGCAGCGGGTTCTAGAGTATCGACACTCATGGCCCAAGGATTCCAATCGGGCTTTCTAAAGATTGAGGGGGAAATCAGGTGTAGGAGGTGTAAGATGGGGGAGATGGTCGAGGTGCACAAGGCAGAACAGATCTGGGGGATCCGTGCGTTCGCGGGGAGCATCACGATTGCTCCAGGTGGCACGGTGAGCTTCGGTGAGCGTCGGTGAATGTGGGGTTGACAAGTCTTGGGTTGACGGTCTTTACCAGGCAGGAACAGGAAGGAATGACGACCATATATAAGAAAAGAGAGAGAAACCCCTTCATTGTTTGTTTATTGTTTTGATTGAATTCTCCACGGATTTACAACTTTAATCCTAAATCTACCGATATCAAGACCGTTCAGGAATTAAACACGGAAATACAGCCCACGAAGTACCTGCAGTAGAAGCTTCTATTGTGGCTGCCCGTGGCTGCAGAACGCTCACACCCCACCAAAGCCCACTAAGGCTCCAGCATCAATCACGGCCACCAACTCCAGCGTAAACTTGACTTTGTCAACTTTAGCACTTTATTTGGATTTAATATTTCTACCCTCACACAGCATGAGACCTTTCTAACAACGCATTGGAAGACCTCGGGCATTTCTTACGCATAATCAATATATGGTTTGCCAACCGTCACCATGGACGACCTTCTCACCCCCGTCAGCACCACCTATCTCAAACCTCGAAACGAGCCTCAACAGCTCCTCACAGAAGTGAAACCGATCATTGAGCATAAAAAGATCACTTCCATCTCGACTTTGGATGAAGCTTTGGACGCTCTCAAGAGCCAGCCGGATTACGACACTCTCATTGCAGTCTTGAAATTCCTAAATGGTGACAAGCCCGCGTCCGACGGTTTCTCATTCCACACTCCATCCCCCAAGAGCGCCGCCATCGTACACCTTCTAGTTTCCGAGATCGTGCCAAACTACTACGCACTGCTTGTTGAAGGAGCTTCCGAGCACGATGAGTTGGAGGAGGAACCTCATATTGAGCTCCTGCTGCGCTGCCTCCGCAGCTCAACAGGTCTCAACGCGACCATGACTCAGATCAGGGCTCTAATTCAAGAATCACGGCTCGGTGGAAAAGAAGAGAAGCGCAGCGATATTGCTCTCAACCTCGGAATTCTCTTGGATATGCTGGCTTCTCTCCTGCGTGGCTTCGAATCGATCCGCGACATATGGGCCTCGTCAGTGAAGCGGCTTACCAATGCAGGTCTTCAGAGAGTTCAGTCGCAGAAACTTGGCTCTCTACTCACAAACGGCCAGATCGTTTCCGTCTCTGCCGAGGCCCTTGAGATTGTTGGGCGTGGTCGAGTACGTGACGAGAGTCAGTGGATAGCTGATGGACTGTCGTATAGCAGATGGATGGGAAACAGCATTGTTTCATGGGTCAAGTCCTCACCCGGGACCGAAGAGATAACATTCTGCTCTGATCTGTTTCAGAAGTCATTATCCCTTCATCACTCAGGTAAGTTTGTGTAGTATGCCTATGTTGATCCCTTTTGCTCATCATGCCCTAGAAACTCTCAACAAGATTGCCATTGATGGGCTTCTCCTTTCTAAAGGAGCCCCCCCTGCTTCTTTTGTCAACCTGGCCTTCAGCCAAGCACGATCATCCAAGAAAATCCTCCATCTTGTTCTCCAGCATATTTCCCAGAAACATCTCAGTCATCTGGACCTGGGCGACACATCACCCAACGAGAAAATCTCTGCGGCTGCAAACATAATAAAGCAACTAACCCTGGATGATGAGACAAGAAAGAACATTCTGATAGACTGGTGCGCCTCATTATCTGGTGCTGGACTCGGCGATGGCATCGGTATCCGTCGTGCTGTGATAGCTGCCCTTTCACAGGACCGAGATGGTATTACTACTGTCTTGGAGAAGTCTCTTGCTCAGTTCGGGGATGAGTTGTACATAAAACATGCGGCAATACTACAGCAGGATGGTAAGGTATACCTATCCAAACCAGTAGAATTTGAAGCACTAACAGTTTCCAGTTCATACTCAGATCTTGCTCCTTGCTGCTGGCTATGTGCACAGGCTTTCGCCAATCAAACTGACTCTACTCATGCGAGCAGGCTCATACATGACCACTATCTCCAACAGAATCGGTTCAAGTCAGGCCAGAGCGCAGTTCCTTGGTCTGGTTGTGGGAGAATCCCTCTCGGCTCTGATCGACGACAACAAGAAACGATTGGATTTCAAGATGGAAGAGACGGAAACCGAAGAGGCACAGCAGCTCAAGAGCCTCACAAAGGTCTCTGACGCTATAGGGCCCATTGAGCCCATCCTATCAGACCCTGCAACAGAGACGTTAACCCAGCCTCGGAAGTCTACCACAAAACCCAAACCTCTCCAGAAGAAACAAAAGCAGAAGAAGAAACCTCTCATCGCCGAGGTCAAGCCAAAGGCTATCATTGAGGAGATCGGTTCTTCTGACGAAGAAGATGATGATCTCGCTCCCTATTCCAAAGACTCTGACCCCGAGGATTCCGATGACGATGCTACGCTGGTCGAGCGTAACAGACCAAAGCCTCCCGTCTACATTCGAGACCTCATCACCTTCTTTAGGGACTCGGAGTCGTACGACAAGCAGAAACTCGCCCTCCAAACCGCCCCGGTTCTCATTCGCCGCAAGGCAAACTACGGCACAGAGGTCAGCTACCATGCCGACGAGTTGGCTGGGCTACTCGTGGGCATACAGGACAAGTTCGAGATGGACGACTTTCAAGATCTGCGGCTTCAAGGCATGATTGCATTAGTGGTCTCCCAACCCAAGACCATGGCACCTTGGTTCGCTCGCACATTCTTCGAGGGCGACTACTCCCTTTCTCAGCGAACCTCGATCCTCATTACCATTGGTCTATCGGCGCGTGAGCTGGCTGGCTTTGAAGTATCTCAATACCAGTCTGCTGCTGCTTTCCCGTCCAAACGGCTCCCTGAGAAGATGGAGCAGCTCTACCTCGAGCCCTCTAGTAGCAACAGCCCCAACGCCCTCCCTGCCTCCCAGCTCAAGGCACTTCCGTCCAATGCCCTTGACAGCATCTCACAGTCCCTTACCTCATCCTTCCTCGCCCCTATAGCCGCAGAAGCCGCTGACGCCAACACGGGGCCCGATATCCTAAAGCTGCAGAGCTTCACGGCACGTTACAAGTCCAAGACCAAGTCCAAGCCTCGTGCGCGCGCCATCCCCAACACAACGGCCGCCCTCCTTGCGTCGTCCTTTTTCTCGCCGCTCACGGCTCACTTCCAGGTCGCCCTCCGTTCTGCGAAGCCCATCGTCCTGAACCCTGCACTCCTAGCGCTATATCTGCAGACCCTCGGTATCATCGTCCATGCCGCGGGCCCTTCAACACTTTCACTTCCTCAGTTGACGGCGGAGTTGTGGGATCTGCTTCTCGGCGTGAGGGTGCATGTCTTGGGTGATCTTGGTGCTACGAAGGGGTGGCTCGTAGCCATGGCTTCACTCTTGGAGGTCAACGGCGGTGACATGCGTCGACTCTGCGAAGCGCAGGGCAGGGAGGTGATGGAGACGAGGGAATGGGTAGCCATGGTATTCGAGAGAACGAGAGGAGAGGACGGCGGGGAGGAGAATGAAGTCAAAATGTTGGCTGCGGGTGTGTTGATCAAGTTGGGCGAGGCCATTGAGAAGTATCAGGCTTTGTTGATGGGAGACATGATTGGGTTTCAATAGGTGGTCGGTTTCAATAGGTGGTCCAAACAAAGAAACCGGCGATGAGATCAAGACTATTATTGAGGCATTCTATTCGTGATTAAAATTCATGATCATACGTCATGTCATGCAAGACGGCATCCGTCCCGGATCCAAGGCCCAAAGATGCTACCAAACTCATTCCGAGCATGACCAAATTATTTCACCTCTCCTCCCTATCCTAGCTCCATGATGCAAGCTGTAGTAGATCAAGGTGTGTCGCCGATAGACTCGATCCTGGTCGTGCTGGCTCGACGAATAGGGAGGCCTGACAGATATGTATTCGCCTGGTTGAGATGGTCGCTGAGGCTCATGGCCATGCGGCGAAGTTCCTCCTTGACCTGCTCAGACGAAGCCTGACCCTCCATCACCTGGGGCGAAGGCGCAGTAGGAGCAGGTGGAAGGAATGGTCTTTGCTGGTACGCACGGGGGTAGTCATCTTGAAACGCTGATGGCGGTTCCTGTAGAGGTGACGGTTGGCGGGGGATCTCAGCGATTGTTGGCTGGGGGGTGAATGACTCGGGGTCCGTATCCGCGAATTCACTCAAAGAGTATGGCCTCTCGCTGCCGTTTGTTTGAGCGGGTTGGGATGGTCCTTGTGGCGGTGGCTGCTGGGCTTGGAATAGTGGTTGTGGTTGCTGGAATGACGGCTGGGGATCATGCCGTTGCGTGTCGTTGAGAGAGAGATCCGCGATGGCGTTGGCATACTCCGAGTCATCTGATACATAGATGGATGGTTCTCGGATAGTATTGGGCATCACATAAAGGGAGGCGTGTTTCTCCAGCTCGAACGGATTCGCTCCGCCCATTTCTGAGCCAGCTATCGAGCCCACGTCCGAGTGTGATGTAGATGGTCGAGGATAGTCATTGATGGGATCCGCCAGACTCATATCCAGATCGATGAGACTTCCTGACGACGCTCGGTTGTTTATTGGCGAAGGAACTGCCAGATCATTAAATTGAGAAGACGGTTGAATTGGCTCAGTGGGCGGGTGAATGAGACGGCTGGTGGTCGGCCCCTGGTCATCGTTGAAGGGGAACCTGAACATCTCCGGGTTCGCAGAGGCAGGAGGAGCCATGGATGGGAATTTCCAATCTCGAGTCCGCCGATTGTTGTTCAATTCTGGATCACTGAGTGGCGGCTTGTTGTAAGACACATCGCCAAAGTCGTAGTCTGTCGATGCTCTAGGATCCCCCGCCCGGATGGTGTTCATATCAACAAACTCGGAGAGGTTGCTCCCGTCCAACGACGCGTCAAGATCAATCAGAGATTCCCTCACGCCCTGGGACTGGGACGAGTCATCTCGCAGGGGCAAGTCTGAAGCCGGGGGAGGAGGAGGAGGGTAGTCTAGGGAGGGAGGAGGAAAGCGACCATAATACGCTCGGGAGTTGTCCTCGTAGTTCGAAATGGTGTTCGGATCAAAGAGCTTCTCCAGGGGCGCCTTGACCGAAGGGAGATGCGGGGGAGGACGTCGACGCGACTTTGGCTTTTGGGTGCGTGAGGCATCGTCATAGCCATCTTGCCTGAGGTCGATACTGGACCCATAAACATCATAGACCGCTTGGTCATTATCCATCTTAAGGACTTGTTGATCGAATGCAGCGGTCGTACTAAAATTCCACTCATCGTTTTCGTATCCTGTCGGCGCGAAATCCGAGGGCCCCTGAGCTCCTCCTGCAGAGAAGAGAGATTTGCGGTTTCCGCCCTTAGCCTCCCACAGCTTGTAACCCTTGACCAGCTGAGCGAGAGTAGATGTTGGGAACATCTCCTGCGTGTTGTGTAGGTATCGGTGATGTTGGACCTCCTCGATAGTTGGGCGCTTCTTGGGGTCGTCCTCCAAGCAATACGCTACAAGGTCCTTGAGGCCCGGCGAATATCGATCACCTTCGAGGCGAGGGATATGTTGCTTCAGATAGGAGCCCAGCCTGTTGAAATCCATGCCAGCCGCCACATTGGGCGGCAAGCCCGAGGCAATCTCGTAGACCATGGCGCCAAAGGCCCAGATGTCAACTTCAGTGCCGTACGAGGCAGCAGGATCAAAGAGCTCGGGGGCCATCCAATGTGGTGTGCCGATGACGGTCGAACGCTTGTCAAACTTGGTCTCGATAACACCGGCAACACCGAAATCGCAGAGTTGAACGTCTCCAACCTCGGTGACGAGAATGTTGGCGCACTTGATATCTCGGTGGATGATACCTTCCTTGTGTACCCAGTGGACTGCCTCAGCCACCTCGCGCAGGATGGGTATTATCCATTTCTCTTGGAGACCACCGGGTGAGGTTGGCTTCATGAGGGTGGCCACACTGCCTCCAGCGCAGTACTCTGTGATCATCCACATGGACTGGCCTACCGGCAGAGCCTCGATGACATGGTTGATGTTCTTGGCGCCCGTGTCGCTCAACAACTTCAGGGCGCTAATCTCCTTGAGCAAGTCGCTGTATGTGTCGGCGAGCTTAGGGTTTGGAACAGCAGTGTCACTCTCCTCAATGTCGATAATCTTGACAGCGACCAGTTGGTTTGTTGTTAGAGAAGTGGCCTTGTAGACGCGGCCGAAGCTGCCCTTGCCGATGAGCTCCGATAGGCGATACTGAGGGGGGTCCTTTCCGGTCTTTGAGCTCTGCTCGGTGACGAGCTTTTGCATCTTCTTGGCATCTTCGATGGCCTTTTGCTTGGTGACGGAAAAGTCCGGGCCTCTAACCTGGAGCGACGCCATGTTGATGAGATCTTGGTGCCCGTCTGGGGCTGGGCTGCCTGAGCCGGGGAGAAGACGGACTTGGGGCCTTGCGGCGTTTGGCGGGACTAGAGAGCTTGGGGAAGGACAGTTTGGTTCACGTCATGGTATCCTTAGCCTGATCACGTGTCGCTAAGCCGGACGGCCGTGATCCTTGACCGGAAAACGAGAAGCGAAGATGGGGGTGGTGTTGAAAATGAGATCGTTGAACATGTTGGAAAGGGGCCACTCGCTCGACGCTTGTCGTTCAGTGTCTGACACGGCACGCACGAGCCTCGTGTCACAGCAGCCGCCATCTTGGTAGCCAATAGGCGGGCGATGTGGCGGTGCACGACGAGTCAAGGTGGCTAGTGAGTGTGCCAGCACAATAGAAAGACAACAAAGAGACGGGACGGGAATTGTCTTCAAAACAACCCCTGGCTCGAATTTTACGTATTAGTTCCCCTCCATTATCAGCTCTGGCCTGAATCAACTTTTTTAAAGTTCTCTCGTGCTTTTACCCAATTCATCCACGCCACAGTTGGAACCATCATGCAAGCTAAGCTAATCCTCCCTTCAGCGCATGAGCCAGCGCAACCAACTATCGAAAGTGCCCTTCTTCGCATCGCTAGTGCAACCAGCAAAAAGTGCAATGAAAGGCAGCGGACTAAAGAAACTTCGCGTCACTTGGAGGCAGTGTGATACCAAGGACACTCTGGAGCGGGCCCCCGGGCTACGCAAGCGTAACCAAGAGCTTTAACTCCGAAAGCAAAAAATTAAAGTCAACTTGTTTGGAAGGGCGTTGAAACCCATGCCAGGGGTTAACCTGTGCAAGAACAGATACTACACTTGATCTAAGCCATATGGCAAAGGAAGCTGAGGAGGAAAGAAGAGAGTGCCAGAGTTGGGCGACGTGAGGGCTCTTTTATACTCGGACACATCGTCTGTAAAGCCTTGGATCTGAGGATTCAAGTACAGGATATGACGATCCCACGTCAATGTCAATCATTCTCGTCGAATCGCTTCAGAATCCTTCCAGGCCGCAGGCAGCTGCCTAGTCAGGGCTGAGACGGGTGATCATCGCTGCCTGGAGTTTCCATTAGAAGAGCTTCCATGTAAGTGGGGATCTACAAGCGTACCCGACAAGGACCGGACATTTGAAGGCCACGCTGACCCGGGATCTCGTTCGCCGACGGGTCCCGTCCCAGGCCCAGGGGTTGGATGGGATTCGGCCGATAAAGAGGATCCAATAGTCCAGTGCGCGATGGCGCCCGCCGTCAACTAAACAAGTAGAATCGGTCATATTCGCCAAAGAACGATACGATGCCCGAGGCTTGTAGATAACCAGAAGCTGTCCGTGCGCAACCGAGGCAACGCGCCACGGAATGACACTGAAAGAAGTCTGTTTGATCGCGACGTTTATCGAGCCTCGAGCTCATGGCCACATGGCCTGACAAAAGACATTCTGCAAATGTCTCGGGCTGGTTAGCGACGTGACATACACAGGCTGGTCCCCTGTGTAGATGCGCCTTTATTTCCACGGGCTGCGAAACAAGTCGGCGGTCATGGCCACCAACACACCAACACACGTCCGGGTATAGCCTCTTTTCCAGCGTCAAAGCACACCTGCAGCCGCCTTTCCCAGAAAGACAAGGCTTGAAACAGAAGAGAAAGGGGCTTCACTTTTTGAGAGCCTCCAATGGCTATCGGTCCCGTCCCAGCTGAATGGACTTGGCCAACACCAAGCAAACGCCAACCGTTGGTGCCAGTTCGGAATGAGCGATCCTTCTCTTGATGGTTACTAATCGAGGGCGCGAGGCTTTATCCGTCGATTACCTCTCGGCGGTGTGACTGGTTTCTGCTGGTATGGCCCATCTGACCCATTCCAAGGTGATGGGTAGTGCGGCCTGAGAAGAGCATCAAAGTTGGAAGCAATACCGAGACCATCGAAAACACTACGGGCATGACAAATATCGACTTGAGTTGTTCATCGGTGGTAAGTCCCGACGTCGTTCGGGTTGGCGTCATGCATTCATTTCCTTCATCACAAGCAAAAGCGCCCTCTCTCTACTAAACAAGCTCCTCCCAACGGAAAGCCTCTTCCATCAACGCCATCAGCTCCCAAGATCGCAGTCAACCTGGTTAGTCCCGTCAAAGCCCGGCCCCTAGCCTCGACTCCCCGCGACGCCGATCTCATTCCCCACGTCCGTGCCCCCCTTTTTTCCCTTTGAGATTCACGAGTCAGTACCTGCATCTTCATCGATCCCCCTGGCTGGGAGTGTGTGAGTGCTGAACGGTGCGTCGGTGATAGGTTCGAGCCACACCTCGCCTCGCCATCGGATGCTCGGCTTACATCTGGCGCGAACTGTTGGATCGAAAGGCCTCTAAAATGCTACTACCGATACGGCAGCTACCTTACTGTAGCTAGTCCTGCCCGGGAGGTGGGAGGGCGCATGATTGCTGGATCCCACGCTCAGGGTCGTTCAAGTATTACAGTAGGAAGATGCACAAAAAGAAGCTTGTTCCGTGTCGAGGCTTGAGTCCCTCGGCCCTTTTCGTCTGTGTCTATCTTCAGTGTCCATCATTCAGTTTCCCCATCTCCTTCTTGATGACTGCCGGACTCCATGCAGCCCGAAGCCCAGCAGCATCACCACCATCATCATGGCAACCGCAGGTGAAGAGTACTTGAAGGCGCACTCGGAAAGCGAGTCCATCGCGCCTCTGCCATCCAGCCTCCGCAACGGTCTCATCGCCATCTCCGTCTTTGCTCTGCTCTCCTTCCTCCTCGCCTCAACTCTCTTTCTATACTTGACCTACAAGCTCCTGGCATGGCACATCCAGAAGAAGAATCGCGCCGACAACATCGCAAGAAACATCCCCGACCCTGAACCCGTTGCCGACTTTACTTATCAGGAGGGGCCGTTTGGGCCTCAGGGGCAGTCTTCGAGGGCAGTACACGGCCAGAGCGCTGAGCGCATCAAGGCTGCTGGAAACAATCCTCCCAACCAGTTCCTTATCCTCGTCTTCAACCTCATTATTGCCGATATGCACCAGGGCGCTGCCTTTCTTCTAAGCGTTACCTGGATCCAAAGAGGCGGCATCTTTATCGACACTCCTACATGCTTTGTTCAAGGTCTCTTTGATTCCAACGGGGACTTGTCATCGAGTTTATTCATTACAGCCATTGCCGTTCACACATATCTCTCGGTCGTTAGAGACTATCGACCACCCCAAAGGGTCTTGTATGCAGTCATTATAGGAATCTGGATATTTGTGTACTCTCTCGCCATTATCCCTTTGTTGGCCACCAACAATGGCAGAAATGTCGGGGGTTACTATGTTCGCGCTGGCCCATGGGTAAGTTACCTATCAAGAAGAGCACTCATCGATTGCGACTATACTAACATAATTCAAGTGCTGGATTAACGACGCTTACGAGAACCTTCGACTACTCACTCATTACCTCTTTATTTTCCTTTCTCTCGTCACAACCAGTGTTCTCTACATCGCCATATACATATCACTTAGACGACAGGCCAAGGGAAGCGCAGAAAAAGACGGCTCGAATAATCGTGTCAAGTTCAACCATAACCCAGCTTTCCTCGTGTACCCTCTGATCTACGTCATGTGCACTCTTCCTCTCGCCCTCGGCCGTATTGCCACCATGGCTGGCGCCCACGTTCCTATGGGATACTACTGCTTCGCCGGAACCCTCATCGCCAGTAACGGATCCTTTGATTGCGTGCTGTTCGGCACGACCCGACATGCCATTGTCTTCGGTTCCAAAGACGAAGTCGATATTGAGGACACGGGCCTCGAGACCTTTGCCTTTATGCGTACCCCTGCCAACCGATACGGCAACACTGTCTGGATCCAAGGCGGAGAGTCCCATTCCGACGGCATGGGAGGAGTTGGGGGATGGTGGCAACGGCTGGGGAGCAGGTCTGACAAGGTATCAGGAGCTCTACGCACCCGTACCCTCAGCCAGGAGTCTCTGAGGAGTGCAGCGCGCAACGAGATGGCCATCCAGATGGACGTGGTCACATCCGTGGCGGTGGAGATTGAGGTGGACAAGGATAGAGATCCGAGATTCCCTGACCCGTCGATGAGCCAGACTCCATCGCTGAGCAGCGGGGAGAAGCATGTCATAAGGAGTTTCTAGGGCAGGCCTTTGTGACTCGCTCAGACCCCATTCATTATCTGATTGAGGGTAACGAGACATGCCGTATATAGACCGAGAATGTCTGTCCATACATACCTAGATACCCAACATTCTGTTCTCTTGGATCATATCATACTCAAGATCTAGTCTTTAATCTAAGCAATTTCTATATACCAAGTCTTCCTCTAAAAAGTCCTGTGAAGCCTTCTACCACACCACACACTCTGTCTGGATAAGCTTACTTCTGTCACGAAGATCCCTTTAGCCTCTCGACCATCTTGCCATGCACCCCTTTCCACCCATCTTCGCACGAACCTTTGACCACACCCACAAGCAATCTAGAACACGCAATGACGACATCCTCGACGATCTCGCACCTCCCATCCTCTGCCTCCTCGATCTGCCACACCGTCTCCAGCACCATGCCCATCGGACCTCTCATGCGGATGAAGACCCCGCTCTCAAGGTTAAAGAACTCTGCATTGCTGACAACGTCGGAGTCCCAGAGGCCCGCCGGCAGGGCATGCACTCTGTCTGTGATTGAGTAGCACTTGGGCGAGGCGACGACGGGCTGGCCCCCGGGAGGAGGCGCAGGAGCCGGATCCTGAGGCGTCTGCAGAGCCTCGAACTTGATCATGTGAGGATCGCACTTGATGAAGAATTCGTGGTCGTGCAGCATCTCGACACCCTTGGACGGTGGGATGCCGGCGGGGATGGCTGAGACGTGCCGAATCTGGGCCGTGGTCCGGAACATGTTTTCCTCGAGGGAGAAATAAAGAGGCGTCACGGACGTGGCAAAAATCTCACGTGGCTGCAGCTGTTGGAGGGAGGGCTGGTTATGGTTTTGCGCGGGCGTTTTGGTGTGTTGATTGCGGGATGATACTGTACAGTTGAGCCAGTGACAGGTTTGGAGTTGGAGGGTAGAGGCTGAAGGCAATGGATGGCGGCGGAGGTGACGCCCTGGTTTTAAGAGCGAGACACATCATAGCGTCCTGTAGCGCATGGTAGAGTAGCATTTTACCAAGGTTAGAGGGCATGGGGATTCCAGTTTCATGGGACGAGAGATGCAACCCTCATTTCCTCATGTTTGCGCCTTGGTGGTGATTAGCTACAGTAGCTGCGGCTGCGGTTACAGCCCGGACGGCTATTGTCTCGTCTCGTCTGAGCGTCCATGCGTTTGATGCTTCTCAACTCTTGGCGGCACGGGTCGAACCGCAGTGATTGTTGTGAGGATATTGTGATTATGGCGGATAAGATTATTGTACGAAAAATACGAACTGCATTGGACACTCCAAGAAGGACTCATATTAAGGGTACTTGCTCTTCTGTTCACTTCTCATGATGTCCAGGTCTGTTCAGACTTCAAAGTGGCCATTGCTTCTTCGCCAAGGAATTCAACGATATGCCATGGCTGAAGGATACAATGAATCAAGCAACAAGGCTTGAAAAGATGCGTAAAGTAAATCTGACAATTTCTCCCCATCAAATCAAGGGATAATAGCACAATTTCATTGCCAGGAATTATACACGTTGAAATAATTGCAGTGCAAATGGTTGCTTACGATCGTCAGGGCCTGTCATGGCGATCCCTTAGATCAAGGAGATGTCATGTGACTTCGCGATTCCCACTTTGCCTCCCAGCGCGGTCTCGCGTGTAGCGTTAACCCCCATCCCACTTTGACTGATTCTCGTGCTCCTCGCAAGTTGTCGTGTCTGCCTCTTGGGCTTTGATCCCCATCTCAATCCTTCCCGATTAGGATTTTCTTGGATCTTTCATGCAATAATTCAACGCCCCTCGTTTCCGCCGCTTAAATCACCCTTCATAATGGTTACGTCAACCAAATCCAATCGATCCCGCACTCCGAGGAAGCCCGCTTCCAACTTTTCAAAAAAGCCCGTCAAAGCCAACAAAAGCATCCTCAGCTTCTTCAAAAAGGAAGGGAAGCAAGAAACTTCGCTTTTCTTGGGTGCAGCACCACAATCCGTCGATGATGAAGACATTTACACTGCCGACGACACGGCTCGATACAACGAGGATGAATCGCCCAGCAAGAGAAGGAAGCTGAGCGAAGAACCCGAGAAGGCGACAAAGAAGGAAACCATTATAAAAACTGAGACGGTGGTCACGGTGGACCAGCCCTCATCGCCTCCCAAGGCAGAGAATGGTTCACGGCCGAAGCAGCCCAAGCCCAAGATCAAGACCCCTTTCGTGATGGACTCGGATAGTGAGGACGAAGGCGAGGACGAACCCGAGACAAAAACCGCCGACAAGGAAACTAGAAAGACTGCCCAATGTACAAAGATACCCCCAAATCACGAGGTCCAAATGGACGGTTTTGCTAAGGACGACAACAAGGACGCAGAAAGCAGGACCCCCACGTTGAAACAGGACGACTCGACATACGAACAATTCGACCACCTCCAGGACATCCCCGATGAAGACCTACTCGAATTAGACGACCTCGAAGGCGAAGAGACACGTGAGATGCGGTTCATGAAGGAACAAGCCCGGCTCGAAGCCGAAGAAGCCGGGGGCGTCGAGCATGAAGACTTTGCAGACGACACCCTCGATGATGGTTCCATGATAGAGAGTTGCCCCATTTGCAACGGGAGTCTGGCCGGCATCTCCACGGACGAAGCAACTCGACATGTCAACTCTTGTCTCGATGGAAACCCAATCCCCTTACCAATCAAGGAGACTCAAGCCCCGAAGAAGCCACCCGAGCCCTCCAAGGCAAAGTCGATTGAAGTCATTAAGAGGTTTGAGCGGGCTGCTATTCCTAGACCCGGCCAAGCCAATCCTTTCAAGATGAATCCCTCAGGCTCCGCACCTAAATCAGCATTTGCAAAGCTCATGTCAAACAATGCTGAGGATTCGGCATGGGCAGAAGCTGCTGCTGCTGAAAACTCTTCTCGAGGGAAGCAGGCTTATGAGAGGACGTGCCCCTTTTACAAGATCATGCCTGGCTTCTCCATCTGCGTCGATGCCTTTCGCTATGGCGCTGTCGAGGGTTGCAAGGCGTACTTCCTGAGCCACTTCCACAGTGACCACTATATTGGCCTAACAGCGAAATGGAGACATGGGCCAATTTACTGCAGCAAGGTTACTGGCAGTCTAGTCAAGCAACAACTTCGAACAGCAGAGAAGTGGGTTGTCGAACTTGAGTTTGAGAAGCCCTACGACATCCCCGGAACCGATGGGGCATCGGTCACCATGATACCTGCAAACCACTGCCCAGGGAGCTCGCTGTTCCTCTTTCAGAAGAATATGAGACATGGAATAGGTAGTCGAGTTCAGCGCATCTTGCATTGTGGAGACTTTCGGGCTTGTCCTGCTCAAGTCCAGCATCCACTACTCAAACCAGAGATCGTCGACTCCATCTCGGGAAAGGTCAAGCAGCAAAAGATTGACATTTGTTACTTGGACACAACATATCTCAATCCTCGTTACTCGTTCCCGCCCCAAAACGACGTCATTAAAGCCTGTGCCGACTTGTGCGGATCAATGTCGCCTGACCCTGATTGCAAAGATGATGTATGGGAGAAAAGCAATGCCCAGGGGACTCAGGGCGTCAGCAAGTTCTTCAAAGGCCCAAAGTCGAACGAGACAGGGAAAGACGGTGCCAAGAAAGGTCCTCGAAAGCGGTTGTTGGTAATATGCGGTACCTACTCGATCGGCAAGGAACGCATCTGCATCTCCATCGCCAAGGCATTAAAGTCCAAGATCTTTGCATCGCCTGGAAAGATCAAGATATGCAAGCAACTCGGTGACCCGGAGCTGACAGCTCTGCTTACTTCGGATCCCCTCGAGGCACAGGTTCATATGCAGATGCTAATGGAGCTACGCGCCGAGACTCTCCAGGAGTATCTCAACAGCTACAAACCTCACTTCAGTCGCATCGTGGGTTTCCGTCCTAGTGGCTGGAACTTCAGGCCTGCCGGCAAGGCTATCGGGGCGAATACTTCACCTGGAAGCATCCAGACAGAGCAGATCCTTCACGGCAAGGGTTGGCGAACCCGTTTTGGATACAAAGACTTTGTGCCGCAGAGGGGTAGTACCAAGGAAGCCATGTGCTTTGGCGTGCCGTACTCGGAACACAGCAGTTTCCGGGAGCTGGCCATGTTTGTCATGAGTTTGAGGATTGAAAGAGTGGTTCCGACAGTCAACGTGGGAAGTGAGCAGTCTAGGAAAAGAATGAAGGGTTGGATAGATCGTTGGATGGCAGAGAGGAGAAGGGGAGGCATTGTAGTGCCACTCATTGAAGGTGAAGATGATGAGAAGATATCAGAAAAGGATTTGTGGGATGGTAAATCGGGCAAGGGAGGGGGAGCATATTGGTAGTGAACTGTGTAGAGTAACGTGTAGAGTATAGCCTCGTTTGGCCATATAATGTCTCGTCATGAAAGCATCACAAGCACGGAATGGGAAAGAAGAGCATTTCATTATCCATATCAGGAGCCAACGCCACATGAATCCCCCTTTTGCCACACCAAGTTATCCATGCACATCTCCCTTGTTGGGAAATCTATTCCATGACACGTCGCTTTGCTTTCATAATACCCCGTTTACTTGGCCTTTGCCTGCTGAGCTGCAGCTTCTACAACGCATCTAGTCAGTCTCGTCTCGTCAACAAAGATTCAAGGCGACTTACCCCTTCGGGTGGCATCTTCCAGCAGCTGCGTGTCCACCGACGCAGCGGGGAGGTGAACATATCTCACCACGGAACCACGGATGAAGACGTTCTTAACGGAGCTCTATCACAGAGTTAGCGCTATAATTTTGACAAGAGTAAAGGGGGCGTGCCATGTGTGGGTACTTGAGCTCTTCGACAACCTGGATATCGTCAAGCTTGATGTTGAGATACTGGTCCACGCTCTTGAGGATGCCCTTGAGCTGGATATCGTTCTTGAGCTCGACCGTGACCTCATGGTCGATGAGGGTCTTGAAAAAGCTTGAAAATTCATGTCAGCATACAAAAAGGTATGGGGGGTTACGCTGGGAAGGGGGTGAATGAGTACCTGAAGAAGAGCATCTTGTCGGTGGGAGAGAGGGTGAGTGAGAGAGAATGAGCCGGGGTTCTTGAGCCTCGCAACGCCTTGGCCTCACGTTTAAATGGGGTATCTGTCCGTGTGAAAGAGTTATAGGGCCTTCTTGATTGATTCACGGACTTTAACGGCGTAAAAGAATCGTTTAGATGAGGACGCGGGCGGTTTAGTTGGTTGGTGGTGCAGGATCTCCATCATGAACGCCAGGCACACGACTGGTATGGTCACGTGACTATATCAAACTCTCAATCACCTCCCATCAGGGCATATCACTCAAATCAAGTGGCAATTCAGATTAAACAAGCAAATGAGACTCGGTATTATAAATACAATTTCTACGCTTGGACTTCCTATTGTTAATTCTATCAGGCATTCAGTCTACTCCATATTCACTCTGTAGTTACACAGTCCTTGAACAGGACAAACCGTACAACTCCCCTCCGCCTTGATACACCTCCCCTGGATGCGGACAAAACATCTCAGGAACACGTCAAATGGTGTTTTTCTTTATGCAGCAGCGAGTACCTTGTTTCCCATATGCACACCCTCGCTTTCCAATATAGCTCAGCTGGACCACACAGTAAAAAAGCGCTCCCCGTGCCCCAGTTCATGCGTTGCGCTACGTTATGTAGTTAAAATCAATCGAGATCCATGCCCCCCTTTCCCAACGCCATGCAAAGCCCAGTAAATGGTGGTTTTTCACTTTCTTCCTTTCGTGATTTCGTGACATTAGAGCCATGGCGGATTTAGGCCACGTAACGGTACAGTGATGGCATGCCGTCCTCGTCGGGTCGCTCCAGGTACTCTCTCGCGATGAGATCCTCAATGCGCTTCTTGATGAGGGACACTTCGGGTCGGAACCGGCCAGAGAGCTGAGTGAGAACTTCGCTGACGAGCTGTGAGTGGCTGAGTTCCTTGCGGGACCTGTATCTGGTTAGTATGTTTGTATGCGTGGTCTACGACACCAAATACGTACTTCATGATTCTCACAACTGCCGCGTCGACAATGTGAGCTCTCGTCTGGTTGTTCTTTTCCTCAGTCTTCTTTCTCTCGCTCGTATCCTCAACCTTGGATACTGCATTGATGATGGGCGCCTTGATTCTGATCGTCTTGCTCTGGAAGGAGGCGTTGAAGGTGAACTTGTCAGTGGGCTTCACCGACTTGGACAGGGGCTCCTTGGCCAGGACGCGTGATTTGGGCGCCACAGCGATGGCCGTCAGAGTTCGCATAAGATCTTGGGTCGAGATGTTGGTTTTGGCTTGAATCTCCTCAAAGCTGAGAGACTCGCCCTCAGCCAGGTCGTTGAAGAGTAGCAGAACAACCATACCGAAGGTTGGCACGTTGATCTCATATCTCCGCTCCCGAGCCAACGGACCAGATTTGCCAGGGATAGCTGGGAATGTACACTTGACATCGGCGCTTCCAGTTGTGCCAATCCAGGTGAGCTTGCGTCCGTTGCGGTTGGTAAGGTAAAACTGCTCGAAGCTCGCCTGCAGTCGTTGCACCTCAGGTGGGTATTCGCACGTCACTCGGGAGCCCTCACCAATCTGTGCGGTTCGACCCATAACCTCAGGAGGCCAATAGTTGGTCGTGAGCACGTTGATGTTGAGATCTATGACCTTGGCACCGTCACCAACGTTGCGGATGTGGTCTCGGTAGCCACTGCTAAGATCAGAGGAAGTGGCCAGGTCTCTGAACATGCCCTCAAACTTGCTAGTGAACTGCTGGCCCATTTCTTGCTTCATCCGAGAAATGATTTGTTTTTCAACGTCATGGCTCTCCGACTTTGCGTGGAGAAGTCGTCGTGCCAGGTGTCTCTGGTAATACGTCTGGAACAGGTCCCTATCCTGCAGGTACCGAATCAGAACAATTGCCTTTTCAAGGACGACATCAACCTCAGCCTCCGTCTTGCCCTTGATGCCTCTCTTCAGGTTATCATCGATAAACAACGAGACGTATTCAGAGCACCGAGAAAACATGTTGATGAAGTCGGAGAAGCTCTTGGTAAGGGCACTCTGGATGATCAAGTCGTTCTGGAAGCACTGTGCCCAGAGCGCATCAAACTTGTCCTTCAGACGCAACACATCGTCCACCCACTTGACAGCAGCAGCTGTCTGCTGCGCAGCAGGGTTCAGAGTCTTTGACTTGTCCCCTTCGCCACCTTCCTCGCCTTCACCATGGCCAGCCGAGAAGTCGGTGCTCTTGAGGTTCTTCTCAATCTCCAAACCAAGCTCAACCACACGGTGTTGCAGGATCTCCTTAAGTGCCGTCTTCTTGGAGTCGACTCGCGAGATAAGACGGTAAAGGATAGAGAGTTCGTCAATCTTGTCGTTGTCGATCATCCATCTCAAACCACTTCCTTCCAGCGCGAGGAACTCGGACATGTGGGCGACAATGAGCTCCTGGTCGATGGTTTCCGTAACCTTTGGTAACGTCTCCAACTCGATCGTAGTCCCGCACCGGTCAATTTCCTCGTTTAGTCGCTGCTGCGTGTGTCGAAGCCAGGTACCAGCGTCTGACTCACGTAAAAGCTTCTTGCCTTCGGCGGCATAATACGTTTTGCTGTTGGCGAGGAATCGAGGCTCGAATACGGTGAGGTATAACTTGTCGTTCTCGCTCTCCTCTTCAGTTTCGTAAAGACAACTAAGCATACGACTGCAGCTTCGAACGAGGTTTCTGTCGATAATATCTCCCTCACGCTCCATATCGATCTGGTCGAGGATGACGGATATCAGGATATCAATGACGGTATCCTTGGTGTTGGAGTTCAGGCAAGAACGTAGGATATGGTCTCGGAAGAGGGCGATGGTGGTGGCGAAGATAGGTACTCGCTGTGCCTCGAGATGTGAATAGCCTCGATCGAGGTACATGAGAATATCGGCCGTCATGTTCATCGACATGTTGTGATCCTCCCATGTGTCTCGTAGTCCCTTGAGGAACTTTTCTCCCGTTTGACGTCTCTCGTTGACCGACGTCACCGATGTTCGCTCGACGCCGATGTTGATCAAGCTGGTGGTGACGAGGTCTCGGATCTTGGGGATAACATGGTCGGCAAACCACTGTTCTTCGAAAGCCTTGACCCGATCATACAAGGCCTCACCTTTCTTCTTAAGAACAATCTTGTAGGCTGCGCGATAGAGTTCTTCGAAGGACAGTCGACTGCAGTTCTTCTGGTGGATGTCACGGAGGGCCTCCTTGAGCATGTTCCAGCAAGCCTCAAAGTCGCCTCCTTCGTCGCGTTCGTTCGGCTGTAACGGTGAGGTCAGCACACTTCACCCAAGCACATAGCCTCCTCTTGCACAGGTCGAATTCTTGACATGTCCGTGGAAGGGCGCTTTCCAGACTTACACGCACGATGCGACGAGGGGGACGAATCCGCCCAGTTCGTGCGCCAGATCCGCCTCTTCCGGATATCATGTTGCCGTGCCCAAGATCTCTCGAGATGTCGTCGTCAAGTAACAAATTAAGGCAGGCAGAGCGCGTTCGCGTGGCTCGGTTTGACTTGAACTCAGAGAATAGTGGGGTAACGGTAGAGGGGAGTCGGTATCGAGGCGGGGGTAGAAGGGCCGCTGCGCTGTAGGCAAAGAAGCAAGAGAGAGTCAGTTAATGCAACGGAGGATTCTGACCCCGAGTATCCAGAGGATGGTCCAGGGGGAGAAGAGGAAACTCGGGGCTCAGGCATCAGGCGAGCTTCGTGAAAGATGACATGCTCAGGATTGACGAGACGAGGCTACAATCCAATTTATGGGTGGCCATTCGGTCTCCAGCAGGTCCACGAACTGGGTTACTGAGCGCCCCAATTAACTTTGGTCCGGGGCAGCATGTGGGCGCTTGCCCGAAGCTCAACCGGTCACGTGGGACCTCTCAAGCAGCAAACATCGACCTCCCTTCCAACAGGCAACGTCACGTGCACCTCCCCAGCTCCCGAACCTTGATTTTTCCGACCGACTTTCTCGACGCCGTGTTGCAGCCTCAGCCTCACGCCGAATCACGACGCGCGCGAGACCCAACCTCAACCGACCGACTTTTGAGCATTCACCACTCAACATCTCTTAGCGGCTGAAGCGCATTTTACACTTATAAGCCGCCAAGATGAAGCTCGTTCGGTAAGCTCAAACTCCCCTTCCATCTCTTGCGCCGCGTCGCGCCGCAGTTTGGAGATTATGCTGAGCTTACTCTTTCAAGCACGAGCTCTTGGGCTAACATGTCACGACCAGATTCCTGATGAAATGCGCCAACGAGACGGTGACAATTGAGTTGAAGAATGGTATGGGAGCAGCATACCCCTCATTCACAAACTCTCGGGCTTAACACTGACCTTGGTACAGGCACCATTGTCCACGGCACCATCTCCTCCGTCTCTCCCCAGATGAACACGGCTCTCCGCAACGTCAAGATGACCATTAAGGGCCAGGACCCCGTCTCCCTCGACACCATGAACATCCGAGGCTCCACCATCCGATACTTTATCCTCCCCGACTCGTTACCCCTCGACACCCTCCTCATCGACGATGCGCCCAAGCCCAAGAACAAGGCCCGCAAGGAGGCCGAGCGGGGCGGTGGCCGAGGGCGCGGCAGGGGTGGTGGTAGGGGACGTGGTCGCGGCCGCGGACGGGGAGGACGACCTTAGAATGGCTACACGGATGGGATCAATGGTCACACGAATGGGTATACAGACGGAGGGATGAATGGGAGAAGGTCGAGTAGGGCTTGAAGAGATCGGGACCGCGGACGGGGCGCGACGACGTGAGGGGTTTTATCAAACGGTATCACGACGATATCAACTATTCACCAATGGATTGGCGTTCGGGATGCTTGGCCCTAAAAACTGTATGAATCATCGGCGGGTGGGTATCGCTTGTTTTGGTATGAAAAGATATCTGAATACATGCTCTTGCACGCCTCCAACCCGGCATCTTCTCCGCTATACTTGTTACTCCGCTGGGTTCGCATAGTCTCGCCATATCCGCACGATCTGCAGCTTTTCCCAGCCAGCTTGCTTGCCGCTGGTGCCCACGGTAAGAGTCCGCCACTCGGGTCCGAATCTTTGGATGCGCTGCTTGACCTCTTCAGGCTTGTTCTGGGCACAGAGGAGGATGTAAGCACATCCGCGACGGGAGAGGACTTGCGGTAGCCCTTCAATAAGCCTGTCGGTCGTCTCCATGCCGTCCAGCCCACCAGCGTACGACAAGGCCAAGAGGTATGAGTCGTCATCGAAGGAGGGTTTCGCGCTCACAGCCAGATCATCCGCGACAAACGACTCGGGCCGAGCAGGCATCTCAGGTGTAGGCACATACGGCGGGTTAAAGATGAGGACGTCGACAGAACCCTCACGCAAAGGAGTGACAAGGTCACCCATGCACGAGCCCAGGTACAAGCCGTGGGTGTCGACATTGTCAGACTCGGCTTTGCCAACGGTGCCGACAGTAGCTCGGCACGCAAAGGCGTTCATGTCGACGCCCGCGGTGAGGATGTTGCGTGTGCCAAAGAGAGTCTGCGCATGGGCGTTGACAAAGGCGAGGACGACTCCTGAGCCTGTGCCGACCTCCACCACAAGGGGGGCAGCATCCGGAAAGGCTTGGTTGAGAAATGCAGTCTCTGTGGCGGATGAAAGCGTATCTAGGAGGAGGTAGGAATCCTCTGCGGGTTCATAGACCCGCTCGTAAGGAACATGAGAAGTGTCTGGGGTCGGTAACATGGTTCATATGACTGGAGAGTTGTGAGATGTAGTTGAGTTTTGAAGCTTCACAAACTGCACGATTAGAAAAACTATCATGGCGGAAAGTGGGTGCGGCACGTGATGCAGCTGGAGTTCGAGTGTCAGAGCTATCGATATTAACCAAGAGGAAATCAAGCAATGGAAGAGAGATGAAGTGTTGAATTTCACATGCCTCGATGGCATATGGTGTCGAAATATGTTGTGTTGAGGGCTTGTATAGGAGCTGCAAGTCGATCCCAATCCAGCCTTAGACACTCTTAACTCAGGTCCTTCTTCAACAAATTGTCTTGACCCTCCATCACCACCCATCAGTTCATAACGGATCAATGATACCACTCATAGAACCACGCACTTCATTTCGCAACCCCAATCGTCTCTGCCAGGTCCAACCCCCCACTTGATCCCCCGTCCCATACTCTCAACCATCCGGACCAGGTTGCGGTCATATTCGCCGTGGAGATCGCAACGAGGGCAAGGTCGGCTCTTGGTGCGATAGTATTTAGGAGGTTGCTTGGCCGTGCCATCGCAAAAGGTCGGGCAGTTGTTAAGTCCCATGAGTGGTTCGCACGGCTCCGTGACGACGACCCAGATGTGTTTGCAGTCTTTGTGCTCGAAGCAGGTCACGGTGCACATGTTGATGGCTGTTTGAGGTTGGGCGAACTTGAAGGTGGGAGGTATCGCACGAGATGTTGTTTGATAAAGAAAGTTGTATTGTTAAGAAAAACTTATTGGAAGGCCTGTGAATCAGTATCCAAGCCCTCACATACAAACGCCGAGCCAGTGCCTCTCCAAACGCATTCTGATGAGAATCACCACCTAAAGAAAAACTCCTCGCAATGCTTATGAAACCCGATCCATCAAGCCCCTGAAAGAAGATGCTGCCGTGTTGTCGTCTCTAAGTGTACCGCTCTCATCTAGCTCAGCATCGCCACTATCATCGTCAATTGCTTCCTCGCTGGATGGGACGAGCCGTGAGAGCATGGTTTCCATCCTGCGCATGGCCCTTTCCATGTTTTCAAGCCTCTCTGCCGTTCCCTCCAAGACGTCTGCGTCGGAGAATGATCCTCGAAGCTTCTGCGGGATGCCCGGGAACATGGAATCACGTCGAGACGGACGTCGAACATTAGGGTCGTTCTGGCGGTTATGGTCGTTCGGACGACCATGGTCGAGCTCAGCCGTCGCATTCCGCGTAAACTGTCTCCGAATGAGATGATGCGTCAAGTCATCGTCGACGGCGATATCGTCGTGCACCGTCTCCGGTGGTGGAACCTGGAACACGGCACGCAGATCTCGATGGACGGTCAACCGCCACTTCTTCCAGAACCGACTCTTGGTCGGCGGTGGAGCCTTGACCTCGGTAGGATCCTCGACAACGCGAGAAGGCCAGAGTAGACGGCGCTCAGCAACGGCGATGAGGATAAGTACTGGGAAGTTGAGGGTTTTGACAGCCGCGACGTGGATCTTGTGGAACCACCGGGGGTTGACGATGAACTTGAGGGGGATGAACAGAAACACTGCAAGGATGTTGAACGGCGGCTGGTACGCAAAGACGGCGTCAGCCTTGACGCCCTCGAGTGTGAGGACTGCTCGTCGAAAGTTGATCTCTTGTATGGCGTTGGACGAGATGTTGCTAAAGGTGTTGGATAACATGGACACCAAGATCGTGAGGAACAGTGTGTTGCCCAAGAAAGCAAAGGCCACCATGACACTGGGCCCCAATAGCCAGTGAAACTCGGTCTAGATATGTGTCAGAAGAAATCCAATAGCGGGTGACGGGGTGAGGACTAACTGATCTCTGGATGCCTGTACCGTCAAGCCCAAACCAGATGTAGATCATCCATTTCGAGATAGTCCTAGAATATTGTAAGCCCAAGACTTGTCAACTTGTCTGAGAGAGACATACACTATGGGGTGAGCTCCCTCGCCGAGCCAGAGGAGCGACAGCAAGAAGCCGAGGAAGCACCAAGCAGACAGTGCCGTCAGAAAGAAGAAATCGGCTACCATCGACCTAAGTGATAAGAAGACCAAGTTGTCGCTAAGTAGGTTGAACGCCAAACGCGGGACCAACACAGGGGCGGCGAGCGCGAGCACGTCGTATGCTTGCTCAATCATGTTTATATCATCACTACGCCATCCGTAGATGCGCAGGACGAGGTATACCCAATAGATGAGAACAAAGGCGACATCGAGGAATGACCAGAGGTTCTGGGTATACACGTTCCTAAACACGGTCAGTAAACTTGTAAAAAATCAAGTGGTGATGGGCGTGGACTCACCATCCGTGTGCCAGGATAGTAGCAAACTGGTCCAGACCCCATCCAAAAGCAAAGATGGCAAAGGCAACCTCGACGCCATTGTGTAAGCCCTGGCTCCTTAAAATCATGACGCTAAAATAGAGAGCGAGTAACACTGCGAATTGAAGAGACTCGAGAATGTTTCGGGTGCGAGGAACAATGAGCCGGTACTGGTTGAGAAGAGGCGACTCGCGAGGTTCGTAAATGGATATAGGCTTCAGCTTGTAGTGATCGGGGATAATGTCCCAGAAAGTCGAAGGAGTATAGACAATACGACCCTCGTAGATGGCATCGATAACCTTTTGACAAGTAGCAGAACTCAGAAAGTGCTTGCTCTCAGTCACAATGGCAATCTCGAGAGACGGCAGGGTCTTGTGGTGAACCCAGGAGGTGATGCGCTCTGCCTCGGCGCGAATCTCATCAGGGGCATTCTGGAAGGGCTCAAAGCCGGCGACGAGGATGTGGGCCAGCAGGAGGAGACCTTCGTGGCCGACGTGAGCCTCGCCGAAACGACGGAGGATGCGTGTCGCGATGAGCTCGCACAGGGTAGCACGCGTAAAATTGACATTGTGTCTGTTGTTCAGATGAGACTGCTCATCGAGGAACTGAGCACGGTTGACCAGTAAACAGTAAACTATGATAGGTCAGCAAGGTGTTGTGAGAACGAGGTCGAGTCTATCTCACTGATAGAAATATCATTTAGGCCATAGAACTTGTCCACCAACGGCCTCACAACAGTGACGTTGATCCTCAGGTCCTGCAGCTGCTCCAAACTCAGATAGTCCTCGACCACGCTGATAATGTCGCGACGGATGCGGTGGATGTTTGTGTACACGGGCAGGTGGCTGTGAGGATCCGTCATGCAGCTGTAGACGGCCTCGGCGTTCTCGACGCCGCCCGTGCTGAGGCGGGTTCCCAGCAGAGGACGCCTCTCCTCCACTCTCGGATCGAATTCGGGATCCGGCAGCGTGATGCGCCGGCGGACGTTGCCGGCCATTGACGCGCCGGGCCTAGAAGGGGTTAATCAATCAAGTGAGGTGTCTGGGTGATGGTGAAATGATCGCGTCGTCGAGTTGTTGAAGAGATAAGTTTTCTAAAGTCCGAAGGGCCAAGCGAGCGATTAACCTGGGCAACCAAGATAAGAAGGCTCAGGCAGTATCTAAAGGTATTTAAGCCTTGGCAAGAAAGAGTTCAATCAAGATTAAAGATTCAATGCACGTCCAGAGGCTTAAAGAAGGTAAAAAAAACTATGCAGGAAATGAAATTGAAATCCCTTGAGCAACGGTCAACGTCATAAAAGTCCAGTGTTTTGGATCTTGAAATCGCTGATGTCGCACTAAAACTGCGCCACTGATTGGACGAGTCCCTGGGCGAAAAAAAAAAACGTGGCGAACCTGGATCGGCTTGAGCCAAGTTTCTTATGCATCTTTTTGACAGGATCTGATAGAGGCAAATCAGATCAGGTGTTAGATAAGGGGACCCTGAATGTGAGGCTTCATTTGTTGGGTTGCAGTCCATCGTTCATTGGAGACTTGGCGTCCACGTGCATGAAATGTGCACAGAACCATGGATAGACACTAACAAGAAGATAACCTACAATCGACATCTCTTTCATGCGCATAGATCTAGTTGTGATCTTGATTTACTCTGAAACAAATGCATACCCTGTCAAAAGCATCCACCATAATTACACATCCCTCACAACTTTGCCTCCTTGCCAGCCCCAGCCTCCTTGGCCAACTCCCAAGCGACCTTTGCCAGCGGTCCCCTGGTCATCGAGTAATGCTTGGCCTTTTCGCTGCTGGCCTGCCTCGCCGCGTACCGCGCCGCGATTCCCTGGCACACGCCCGCGAGCTTCCAGATGCTAAAGGCCATGCCCCATGGCACCTCGGCTCGGGGGTCATATCCGCTCTCCGCCGTGTACCACTCTAGGATCTGCTCCGGCTGCGGGAGGCCCGGCGTCCGTCCGGGGAGGAACTTGGACACGTCGTAGGGTGTGGCTCCCGGGTATTTGGCAGTGTAAAAGTTCATCATGAAGTTGCACACGTCGGATAGAGGATGTCCGATCGTGGACATCTCCCAGCTATACCAGAGTCAGTCAGATGTCATCAAACAACAAGGTAAAAACATACTCTAGAATACCAATGACTCTTGGCTCCGTCTTGTGAAACACCAGGTTGTCAATCTTGTAGTCGCCATGCACAAGAGTCGCCCGGTCCTTGGGCTGCAGTCGCTCATTCTTAAAGAAGCGCACTGTCTCATCAAAGTTGGGGAGCCTTCCCACGGCCTCCTTCGTCTCAATGTCCACGGCCTTTTCCTGGCTTCCGCAGATGGTGACCCACGTGTTGATCTGTCGAGGGTAGAACCCTGATGCTCTGCCAAACTTCTCCAAGCCAACCTTTTGAAAGTCGACGGCATGGAAGCGCGCGAGCGTCACCACAGCGTCACGCCACATGGCCTCACGTTCAGCGGGCTCGACACCCGGCATGGTAAAGTCCTCAAAGATGCGCCCGTCGAGAAACTCCATGATGTAGAACGGGGTGCCGATGACCGAGTCGTCCTCACACAGGCAGTACGTCTTGGGCACAGGAAGGTCAGTGTGTTCAAGGGCGTGCATGATGCGGTATTCACGCTCAACCTTGTGCGCCGTCTTGGAGAGGAGCTTTCCAGGAGGCTTCTTTCGCATCACGAAGCGCTCACCATCAGTGGCCGTGATCTGGTACGTGGGGTTGGATTGACCAAAGCCGAACTGATTGACGTCACATGGTCAGCCATTTCCAGAGTCGAAGGGCGGTCGTGAACTCACTTGCTTCAGATCAATCGGCGTCTTGATAGCTGGCACATTATCCGAAATGTACCTCTCAAGCGCCGCCTCGTCGACGGGCTGCCGTACCCTGCCAGCCATGACCAAGAGTGTTGATTCCTCGTCTCAGTGATGTGGGCTGCTCAGTGATCAAGGGAGCTTCCAGGTCTTGCGAGACACAAATTGTATGTGACAGGAGAAGTTTATAAAAGTCTCAACAGCTAAACAAACCCCAAGTCAGTCTGACCGGGGTCGCCAGGTCGACTTTACATGCTTATGTTGCAGCTGAGGTCCCCCGTTCTAGGACATGCCGAGGTCCAAATCTGGGGTCGTCGGTCAGGTTACATACAGTTCATCGCCGCGGGCCATGCCTTGCCCCTCTTCCCCAATCTCTCCACATTGTGTCACGTCTCCTCGGCATCTTGCCATGGAGACTAATAAGGGGCCGCAATTTGATCCCGAGCCAATGAACAATCGATTGATCTGGCTGAGATCGGCTGCGCTTATGAAAGATATCCATGGATACTGTACTCTGTAGCTAGCGTACAGTGATAGGTGGACAGGCCAAGCACAAACGGCTGGTCACCAGCTTTACCATGTGTTGTAGGGACAGTCATTCACTTGTACCGACGAGATGAGAATCTTGAACACCTGTGAGAATCTACCAAATGCTATGCCTGTTTTCTTTCAATGTTATTACAGCCACTTACACATTCACAACAGACAACGAGCCAAATTAAACAAAGTGTAAATCATATACACGCCTAGATTTTCAGACACTGACTCCCTCTGCTACTGGTGATCCGATCCGGCATCGAATCATACTCGATGGCAACTCTAAACTTATACATCCATGGGCCACAGGAGCACCAAGTCCATAAACCAGTCCTCATTTCTTCTCTTCCCAAAGTATTTAACATGTGACAAAATATTCTTCTTTTTTCTTTTTTCTTCTTTTTCGCATATTCGGGTTTGTTGTTCTCTTCTCCATCCCGCCCTCGCTTGTCAACTTGTATTGGAATGCCTGCCCACATACATGGGCAATATGCATCAACAGCCAAGTGACTTCGTTGGTGCCAGACCCACGTTGTACGAGTTGCGAACCATCTTCAAAGAGTTCGACAAAAAATAAGAATGAGAGAACCGAAAGACAAAGGAGAAAGGCCCGAACGAAATAACAAAGAGGGGGTATCCATCATGTTGAATCGTCCATGCATTCTGTCCATCCGATATTCCTGAGGCCACACCCATCCGAGTACAGGCGTGTCATGCTGTTGCCAGTCCAGTGCTGTATTACAATGAAACAAAAAATCAAGAAAGAGACCTGCCGGGTCCTGGCATGGCCCCGACAGCTCTGTAAGAGCCGTAAACGAAGGTGTCAAAACTTGAGAAAAAAGACACAGACCCATATTAACCGAAGACACCCCCGTCCGGTCGACAATAAACCCCCTCGCCCGTCGCCGACCCCCTAAATAGACTCGAGTGGGGAGTGGAAAAGAAGGAACAATCGTGCTGCTGTCGTGACGTCGTAAACCGCTTATAGGTCAACAAAAGAGACTTGGGTGATTTATACACAGTATACGATCAGCCCTCGTCTTCATCTTCGTCGTCCCCTGGGCTCGCTGTGTCCGTCTTAGCTCTCTTGTTTGTTGATGAAGAGTCGGCTGCAGACTTGCGCTTGGTTCCTGCGGATCCAGACGTCTTATCTCCGACCGAGGAACCATCAGCTTTGTCGTCTCCCTTGCCAGCGTCGCGCTCCATGGCGGCGACCTCTTCTGCTGTGAGAAAGCGACCACCAGGGCCACGCGGACGGCGCATGGCGTGGTTATGTCGCGATTCGTGAAGGTAGGGTTTTCGGCCTTTCGAGGTCAGTCGAAGCTGCTCCTCAAGCTTTTGTCGGGCAACACGCCGCTTGAGAATTCGATGAAACTGCTTGGCATTGACATATAATGGCGATTCCTCAACGCCGCCTCCGGCCGGCATCTCCGGGGATTGCGGATGTTGCATCTGTGCGGCCGGCATTTGAGGTGGGGCAACACCCGGTCGCGCGCCGGCGTGGCTCATCATGGTCGACGCGTTGGGAACCCCCGGGCTGGTGACCTGGCTCATTCGGCGGGCGGGAATCTGTGTCATATTGTTCATGCGAGGGGACTGGCGATTGTCCTTCTTAGCGGAGGCGCCGCCCATACGAGGGGAGCTTTGAGGCATGTTGGGATCTGAGGGCATATAACCATAATTGGAGCCAGACGCGGCAGCGGTCGCAGCCATTGCGGCCGCCTGGATTCCGGGCATGCCATAAACTTGCTGCATGCCCTGCTGTGGCACGCCGTATTGTGGTTGATACATGTTGTGTCCTTGAGGCTGGGCCTGGTGCTGCTGCTGGGGGATAATGGGCGACGTTTGCACCGCGTGTTGGTTGATGTTGTTTGTGGGCGAAGTGATGTTATTAGCAGCACCCGAGTTCGCGTATCCTGAGTTTGTGTTTTGTCCTTGCTGTTGATATTGGCCGTAGTCCATTATCCACTAACAATCCAGTTTGATTGGTAGGTGTCGAGGATAGGCGTCCTCGTCGCGTTGCAATTCGTTGATGGCGTGTTGGGGTTCAGAGCTGGATTCGACCAAAGATGTAAGACGCGTAACAATTCTGACGTCCAAAATTCGTTCGACAGAGAAGCAAATGACGAATAGTTGCAATGCAATGGAAAACCGAGTTGGAGAGTTGTGGGTTTAAGGTCAAGCTGTTTGGCTTGGGTAGAGTTGGGCTGTCGAGTCAGGAGCCCTCTCTTCAAGATGCTCTAGTCGCGACAGATCTGGGAGAAGGCGTACCCAAGTGATTGGGCATACGTGTGTGAGGTGGCAAGCTGAAATGGGGCAGAAGCGGTCTCTCAGACGGTCAACCACAGCATATGCGAGCTGATGTCGTGGCTGAATACTGCCTGTAGTGGCTGATGCGGCGGTTCACACAGCCACGTGAGAAGTAAGCGAAGCCGTTTAGGCAAGAGAACAAGATGGCAGCCGAGAAGACGGCAAGGAGCGACGAGAGATGGCACTGGCTGGTCAGTTGCTTTGTCTGGAGAAAACTGTCCAACCATAGGCGTTAGCTACGCTGTATATATGCTAGGCTAGGATGAAGGGGTGGGACGGTGGAAAGAAAAACGGGGGCGGGCAACGGGAGCGGGAAGGGGTGCAAAATGCGCGTCTGGAAAGCCACTCTTGATGCGTTGGCAGCCCAGAGTCCCATGCATGACGGAATATGCAACAGGCGGGCCCACCAGCCCACCCCGGCGTGCTAGGCTGGCCAGGCCTCGAGTTGGAAGCAAGGGCTTTGACTCGAGGCCTCAAAGCAGAGGAAGCCTGTTGCGCCGGGCAGACTGACGACGGCCATGTCAAGAGACGCTGGTACTCTTGACTCCAGCTTCTACCGCTTTTTGTCACGTCCCTGGCGGACCCCATGTCCGATCATCAGTGACGATGCCGAGACGGATGAGGTTGAATCGGTCCGCCATGGGAAGCGACCTGCCTGGCCTTGGGCTGCACTCATCCAGATAAGCGCCGTTGGACTCGCATCGAGGCAAGGCAAGGCGGCGCCCAAGCTGGTTGGTGGCGGAGACTCGATTCCCTTCCGGGACTCTGGATAGCTGCGGCCCTGCGCCTTGCAACAGGGTGCCAGAGCGGGGTATTGGCTGGCCAGAGGAACGGGACGCAAACAAAGGGACGGGTGTGCATATCAAGGCTGAACGACAAGGATATGGGTGAAAGTGAGAACCAGGGGACAATATCTCTTTCAACAACATCATTGACTCTGTGTCACGAAGCGGACACCCGAGTAGGCTGTTTCGTGGGGGAAGAGGGGATGATGCTTATGTGGTGGAGTGGAAACCAAGGTGGCATGCCTGGTCGGTGACGTTTGAATCAGGCAGGTCGGCGGCGGGCGAAACGAAAGAGGGCGTGCTCGAATTCCACGCGACCGCCCTTCTGCCAGAACACTGGGGGAAAAGGAAAAGAACCAAAATGGAAAAACTTGTACGTACAGCAATGGCGTGTAGGAGTGCCTCGCTTGAAATTCAAGCCGTGACAGAGGTGCGGCAGCTGTGATCGCGTTGTCAGCATGAAACGCGGTAGATTATCGGCGACGTCGAGTCTGTGTAAGTGACACCAGAACCATGCAGTGCAGCACAACGCAGTGGCCAAGGTTGGAGTAAGCCGTGGGCAAGCGGCAGGAATGCGCGCCAGTGATAATGCCAAAAGAAAAGACGCGTTTTAGAGACGAGACAGAGTCAATGCTGGGTGTGCTGACACGGTCGACTGCCTGCCCAGCTGCGAACGACGCGCTGTCGCGTATGCGCCCAGAAGAAGAGGGATGGCCTCAAAGGGAAGTGCTCTGGAAGGGGAGCTTGGGGGATATGGTGAAAAGCAAGCAGAAGCGGCTCTACGTACCTTTTGTGATGCAGGAAACCGACAGATGCACACAAGGCGCGGATGCACGGTTGATGAGCGGGAAACGTAGGAAGCTTCGGCGCGCTCAGAGCTTACTCGCACGACCTTGATTCACACAAGGCCAGTTGAGACGAGAGTTGAATCTGGGGTAAATCGGGATCCGCAGGCAGAAGTCGTCAGGTGACGGACAAAGCGGCCAATGGAGAGTATCAAGACGATGCTGGCGACGATGATAGGCCTCGAGGTTGAGATGTTGAAAAGGCGAAGCGAGGTGAGAAAAGCGAGCTGATTTGCTGGTGGTGCGTGGTGGATTTGATTTGGGGTGGGTGGGCTGTCTCGGGCGAGTGACGAGGGCTGGTCGTTTTGTCGCGCGGCAGCGTGAGCCTTGCCAGGAAGGCAATTAATTATCTGACGGGCCACCAGATGACGGACGGCAAGGGCCAGGCTAAAGATGGTCCGAACCCGGAAGCGACCGTGACGGCTGAGGAATCGCTTTGTCAGAGCAGGCCAGGGTGCGAGAGATCCCGATGCTAGCTCGCTAAGTCAAGCTGCTGGCGAGAGGGCCGGACGCGTCTGGTCAGACTTTCAAAACAATTGTCCGCTGACAGCCGCGTGTATGAGACGAGGTCTTGACTCGGTCGAGTCAAAGAGTAGAGCCGGGTGTGGAGAGGTAAGACAGGATAAGAGGGGGTTGGGAGTTGAATCAGATATGTGAGAGTTTGCGTGGAATGCGTAAATGGACGAGTGATGCAGACCGAGAGGGGAGGGTAACGCGGCAACGCGGCAGTTGTTTCGCAGCAGGCCTTTTTGGCTTAGCAGGCGTAAGAGACCCAGGACGTTTAAGCGGAGAGCTGAAAAACACCCTTGAAGCTGAAAAGAAACAACCTGAAACGTAGGTAGGTTGGCCGCTGGGGAGGAGTTGGGCGATGGAATTCGCAGCTGAAGAACAGCACGAGTATCGACACCAAGCTATCGATTGAGGTGAGGGTATCTGTTACCGATAAGGCGCGTGTTAGTCCTATTGGTGAACAAGCTTTTGGAAACTGTAGTTATACTACAGTTTCTGGGCGCCGTGCATTACCGTTTGGGGCGGTTCGGCGGACGATGAGCGAATGGCAGAAGCTCAAAGCGGGCGGAGGCAGAAGCTTGTCTCTCGGACGGGCCAACTGGAAAGCAAGGGCAGAGCGTTTATCGGTCGCGGTTCACGGGAGCGTTTGCGCGCGCGCGTGGGATCCAATCAAGGCGAGATTGGATGCGAATGGATTTGATTTGTGAATGGCTGGCCAGTAGACACAATCAAGTGTTTCGAGGCCTGGGACGAATCTGATTGCTTGCTGAGTGGATGAGAAGGAGAGCAGGAAGATTGATTGGCCGTGAAGGAGGAAAGGCCGCGAGAAAGGACGAGGGAAATGCGACGAGATGATTTGAGGGGCGGGCTCCAGACTCTTTGTAGACTTGTGACTGGCGGAAGCAACCTTGGGTGGGTCTCGCATAGGTGGCTGGGGGTCAGGCCGAGCTCTGATTCGAGGGGCATAGCGTGACGCAAGGGCTGAACCTTTTGAGTCCTGAGGCAGAAGTCCAGGGGGTGTGGGGGTGTGTGAGGGGAGATTTTTTTTAGGCTTGCCTTGGCTCGGCCTCGGGCTCCGGATGACGGTTTCCCGCACCGTACGGCACCACGGGCAGAGGACTTGACCTGTGAATTGCGGCTTTTTGTTGGCCAGGTGCTCGACATCAGTCAATATCAGGTAGTTTTTGGCTCATCTGCAAGCTTCAAGTCATGATAGTCTCGGGCACCGACTTGTCTTTTACTCTATCTCTCTTCTTCCCGCCAGCACAACCCTCGATGGCCCTGGTCCGTGAGCCGTGATCCGGTGCCCCAAGAATCAGATCTTGGATACATCCCTTTATCTGACGCGCTCCATGTCCTGCCTTCCATCTCCCTCACGAGTAACCCCGCTCTTCGTTCAACTCTCTTTTTTTTTCTCCTCTGCGAATTCTCACCTTGGAATGCAGGACGGGGGTGATTACGAAACGCTCAGCAAAAATGGGCCACGCGCAGGAGCCAAAAAAAAAAAATGATTTTGGGCTTGTCTCGTATTGTCTTATTTTTTTTGCCTCGTCCTTTTTAGCTTGCTCAGCCACTCTTGTTTTTTTCCTCGTTTTCTCAGGCTGGTCCCTGACCGCTTCTCTCAACTTGTTGTCTCCTTGATGCCTTCTGCTCCAGCAACAGGCTGCCTGCGTGCGTGTTGCAAAACCGGTGACGACAGAACTTGCAACCAAGCTCGAGCTGTCTTCACCCCCTCCTTCTTGTCGGCCGATCACCGCCCGTGATGGATGGTGTGTGGATGAGCTGGCAATCCGGCTCGGGGACTAAAATTAGCCCCAAGACTTTTTTTAACCTTCCGGCGGACGACGGGGGACACAAGGCCGTGTTGCTGAAGCTGCTGGGAAGCTTGGAGTGAGCTTGTTGGAGCTGAAGCTGAAGCTGAAGCTCCAAAGTACCGAAGCTAGAGTGAGGTCAGAGGCAGCCTGTCCTGCTCTGGACCACGACAAGCGGTGACTGGGCTGGGCTTTGTTGACTCACGGGGCTGGCCGTTGCAGTGAGCGTCCTGCCGATGATGGATGTCGACGTGCTGCCGTTCGATGTGACTTGTCTCACATTTTTTTGAGTGTTGGTTCGCAGCACCAACATGGCTCCAGCCTCAGCATCCCCTATCGATACGCTATCGATTTCCACCCCATCAAGGCTGGCTGGGCGGGAATTTGACGACAGATCCTGAACCTGGACACATTCAGGCTGTTGCTGCTTGCCTGCTGGTGTTGCTGCTGCTGCTGCTGCTGCTGCTCCTGATTCTGGCCTCAGCAGGCTCTCCCAAATTCATTACTTTGCTCCGTCCCGTGTTGCTGTGACTGGGTTGGGCTCCAGCACCGGAACCGCTCGTGGCGTCGGGTTTCTCTGATCTGGGCTAGCATGGAGTTGGGCGTGAAATCACACACACCCAAGGACCAACTCGGCTCCACGTGACGACGCGAAATTCGCCTCTTTTCGGTCACTTGCACGGCAGCGAAACAGACCAAGCAAAGCAGGCTGGGCTGGCAGAACAAGGGACTGTAGCAGCCGCACAGTAGCAGCCACCCAGGGATCGAGAGTATCGATCACCAAGAGACGAATTAGAAATGTCGGTGTGCCGAACCTGAATCCGGCGATCTGGACACCTCCGTCACTGGTCGCATCTCATCAGAGACAAATGCAATGCCAGCCTCGTGTGCTTGATTTTTGTTTTGGCTTTTTGCCATGGCCTGTGGCTCACGCAGTCACGGTATTGACGAGGCAGCAAGCTCCACACAACTCTCTCGGATCTGCGAGTGCTGGTTCCGAGTCTCTGTGAGGAGGGTTGGTGCTGGTGCCAGCTAACTGCATTGATGCCAGCTTTTTACAAACCAGACGCCCGAGTGAGTGCCGTGCTGGGACTTGAAGCTGTCGAGTCGAGAGCAAATATCATGCAGAGGCACCCGACGCTCGCTTCCAATCCCATGGATGGATCCAATGCCACTGCCGTTGGAGCCCTGTCGTCAACAACCTATGTACCGACGGCGTCGAGGGGGATGGATGGGATGAGATGGGGCCTTGGATGCCGGCCGCAGCAGTTCGTACGTGAGCGCTATGAGTCGGTGAGTGGCCGTGGATCCCTGGCCCTGTGGATCAAGGTGGCACGGTCGTAGCACCTCGTTGGGATGGATGTGCGGGACGACCTGCCGAAGGGTCCGTGGGCCTCTCACTCTGTCTCTCTGATGGCCAATTTTTCACGCGTGGACGCGGCGCGTACCTGCTCACTAATGGGTTTTCCGGTCAAGACGGACAATGGCATACGTTGACGCGTATCAAGGCATACAAGCTCGACTGCACAAGTCAGGTCAGACTGGAGACCGGACAGCGAGGACGATGGGGGGGAGTGCTACGTTGGTGCGTTGTCGGTTGTGCCCTCTTCTCACGCATCGCATGCAAAGCTGCTGCTGCTTGCTGCTTGCTTCTACCTACTTCTCCTCCTGCTGTACAGTCATATCTGCTGCCGTTATAGCTCCCCGCCATGTTTCGCACGTCTCGGGTGGTGGGGCTCTACCGCGTGGTGGTGTGTGAATGCCCGTGTCTTTGGCGTCCTTGGGCCATCGAGCATTGCATTCATGGAGGGGGGATGGTCTACCGTCTACGTAGGGAGGTGTTGATGTGGTTGGTCCCATGGGTGTGGATGGGCTTCAAAGTGAATGAGATGAAGGATGGGGTTGGGCTGCCAGCTTCTGAAAGGCGGGAGCATCAACGGCATGGCCGCTCAAACACGCCCAGGCTTCAAGGATCGATTGGACAAACAGCGCACCCATCTCGATAATCTTCCGATTGGCCATCCCAAGAGCAGGAGCAGGAGGCTCACACAATGCTCTTGAGGGCCATGACGCACTCATCTCTGCCGTCCCCTTGCCGCATGTGATTTGATTACGGTGATGACGGAACACATGCGCCATGCGTTGATGGCATCCCAATCATCCCACATCACAACGCGATGCACGTAGCCGCCTTGTATGATCTACGGGGACGGACAAGTTCTGGGCCTGAGGGGAGAGAGGGGCCCAACGTCTGTCGGCCTGGCCTGGCCACCTCTATTGTATGGGTTGTGCTTGGGCTTGACACGTCGTCGTCTCAACAGATGTATCAGAGTTGCCAGGCAAGGTAAATTGATGGGTCGCATTCAAGGCCCGATGAATTGCATCGGCCTGTCCGCCTCACCTTGGTTGTGCTGTATGTTGGCGTCTCTGGCTGCAAGCCCCTGGACATGCCATCAGGCAGCCTACTCACTCGAATCGAATGCAAAGGGTCCCGTCTGGCTTGACAAAAGATTGCGGGCGTCTTTGCATGGCGGAGGAAAACCTACGAAGCCGTATTCGCGTGCCTCCTCCTCTGTTCCAAAACAGTTGTTGACTTTGGTCTCCCACTCATCAGCCCACCTGCGCTGCCAGCCTGGCACCACTTCGAACTGCTTGCTCCCAACATGCACACGACATTCTCTCTTTCTGGCATTGACATCTGCTGCCCAGTAACTTGAACAGCCTCGCCTTTCTTGCTCGGACGGACGGTCGGTCTCGGGGCTCGTATTGCTCCGTCATCCCCTTTCAGCTCCTCGACACGGACGCCCATCACGGACCTGTTTCCATCACCCTCCTCGTCACTATCACCGCAACACACGACTCGTACCCCTAGAGATATCACCTACTATCACACACAAGTCACATCTTGAATTCTAGAGCCCTTCTCCCGTCATACTCGGCGCCCCCGGGGCTAGGCCCGGGTCGCACGCGGCCGTCACCATGCCGCTCCGATTCGCTTTGAAGACAAAAACTGCCCAATGCTTTTCCTTGCTGCGCGCTTAACCCGTCCACTCAGGCATGATATCACGTCCCAGACGCGTCCCAAAACTGCAATTAGCTCTCCCCTGTTCGTGACGAGCCCGCTCCCCTTGCGACGGCCTCTCATTTGTCGCCACAGCTTTTGGCTCGAAATCGACCGCAGAAAGGTCACCCATCCGAGCTTTCGCGGGGCCGCACGCGGCGATCGTCATCTCGGGCCAGGGCGGCTCTAGAGCCTCGGGGGGGTTCCTTGCTTCTGTCTGTTAGAGCCGAGGCGCGACGCGGTATTATTTCAGTGTGATATTGATGACAGGCTTTTTGTTGATGCTGTGATTGTAACATCACTCTGCCTTGAGACTTCAATTGAGCCCCTGTGACATGTCACCGGCTCGTAATACCATTATGATTAATCACTGCAATGTCTCGCCACTTGTGAAATGCAATTGAAGGGGGGGCTGGTGAGTTGCTTGTTGAGAGGGAATTTCATGTCTTGGCTTGGATGGAACTCCACGGTTATCGTAAGACTCGGGTGTTTTTCATCCCAAACTCAGTTGGCTTCATTGAAAAACGTCTTGATGATCGACCAATGGCTTCGGTTAGTGGAGAACTAGCCATTATATAAACCAATGATAGAGTTATGCATTCCGGTTTGGGCGAAGAGGCTGGCTGTGGTTGAAACTCTCGTTTCGGCCGAGATGCAGGGTAGACAACAACACCACGAACATTAGTTCTCATACACTTGTCCGGAGTAGTTGGGTATAGTTATTTTGTGTGCTTTTGGCGTGCGAATATGTAGAGTTAAAGTACCTCCTCTGCGTATATTCAGTCCAGTGTCCAGTGGCATGTTGAGTAACTTCAAAGGGGGACATGTTCACTTGCATGAGTGCTTAGGAATCAATTCAACCGTCAACTCAAAAAACCTCCGCCGCAAATGCGATACAACCACAAGTAACACAAAATGGAACAATCGAGAAGCACAATTTCACTCACAGTTGTCGCCAAATGGCGCTCACTGAGCCAACTTAGATCCCAACTTCGGTGTTGTGTTCTCAAAGATTGATCAGAACTGGTGTATTATTGTCCAGCAAGAGTCCATCTGGGCCAATAGATTCAAAGGCAAGACGCACGATAAGCTCAATGCACTCATATAAACCCGTTCAGATCCATATACTTTCCGCCACTCTCACCCACAGGATACACTCAGAGTTCCTTTCACTGACCCTGCTGGACTTGGCTGAACCCCAAAAATGGACCAAACTGGAAGGTATTCCTGGCATAAAATTTCACGATCGAGGCCACTGACTGAGAAATCTGGCCCCATCAGGTCTATGAGCTGTGCTCTGCAGTGGAGATGTCATTTTTCCGCCATTAAACGGTCCCCAACAGCTCGAGTCACTCGCCGAGGAAAGCAAAGAGACAATAGATACGAGTGAATAAGAGGCTGTAAACGTCATGATGAAACCCCAGATTCGACCTTGACAAGTAGTTTTGTGAATGACTGGAGCTTGGGTTCATGTGGTAGACTGGCGAATGGCAGTGAAATTAAGGTCAACGAAGTATCCTGCATCAATTTCCAATTCACAGGGAGGATTCTATTTGCAGTTATACATGTGCCATATAGATCACACTGGAGTTGGAGGTTTGCATTGGTACAATGTTCAGTACTTAACCCAGCACCTGCTCGGCCATGGACACTGGATGGTAACAATGTTAGCCGCGGAGCCGGAACGGAGCCGATATCAATAAATGATGACTTACCACTGCTTCCAGTGTTGTCAGGCTCAACATGCGCCTCCTTGACCTTGCCGTCCTCAACCTTGAGGGCATATCTCTTGCCTCGCATACCACCGAAGATGGCGTACGCATCAAAGCCAAGATCAAGAGCCTTGGTGAACTCTCCAGTAGGGTCGCCGAGGAATCGAATCTGTGAAATGGGTTAACTCAAAACACATGCCCGTGTTAATCTTCATTTACTCACCCCGGTCTGCTTGGCGGGATCCAGCTGCTCGCTCCAGGCCTTCATACTGCGGGATGAAGTCAGCATCGGGCACGCAACGAGGTCAAAAGATAATTTGAGCCAGAAAACTCACACGAAGGGGTCGTTGACAGAAACAACAAAGACCTGGCCGGCCTCCTTGAGCTTGGGGTGGTTCATGTACGATGGCACATGCTTGCTGGAGCAGGTGCCGGAGAAGGCGGCGGGGACACCGACGATGTAGCCGTTACCCGACTTGAACTCCTCAGCGAGGTTGACCTTGTTACCGGGCGAGTCCTCGACCAGGACGTCGAGGTCGGGGATCTCCTGGCCGACGCGGACCATAGCTCGAGGGGTCGAGTGGAAGCTGCGTGCGACGGTGGCGGGCCTGGCGAGGGCGACGCGGCGGAAAGAAGCTCGGAAGGCCATTTTGTAAAGGTCAATTGAATCTGCTCTGGGGATACGCGAGGCTCTTGGAGGGTGTCGGGTTGCCAATCGTGTCTGGGGTTGTTTGCGGGGAGGTTGTCGTTGAGGAGCTTGGGGAGCTTGGGACAGCCAGGGCAAGTCCAATGACATCACGGGTTTGGTTTCACGATCCACCACGCTAAGAGATACGTACTCCAACCTCACCCTTCAAGGTTCTTGTCTCACTGCTGGTTCTTGCATGTTTTTGTTGAGAGTAGGTAAGTGGTGTAGAAGATTACGGTAATTCATAACTTGTAATATTGTCTAATACTGGGAGGATGCTTCAATGTTGATTTGGTTATGCGCTTGTTCTCTCTGCATCGGGAAATGAGTTGCGAGTGAACTCGGGAAGCATCTTCTTGAACCCATTGTTGGAGTCGTTATCAATATATCAAGACGATTATAGTCTATGTATAATGAAACCAAAGCTACTCCATGAATGGAGTGAGTTTTCCTGATCTTTTGTTAAACACTTTCTCATCAAATGGGATTCAAGGTCGTGATGCTCCTGCCGAGTGTTGACACCTGCCGAAGCAATGTCCACCAGGTAGAACAATCTAGAGCTTTATCCGTTTGCCTGTTGTGGAAAACAAACACCCAAATTCACCTAATTCGGCTCATTCACGGTCCTCAATAGCCCTCAATAACCCTCAATAGATAAAATGCACTGACGTGCGCTCCTGCCCCCGGCAACTCTGCCTTCACCCAAACAACTCACCCAACGAGCAACACTTCCCTTCCACCTTCTCTGCCTTTCACCCACAACCTCCTCTACAAAGCCAGGAATACTTCGAAGCATACGCTGTGCCTACACTGCCAAACCGACACAAAAAACGAGTTCATGTCACTCCCTCGTTGCCGAGGCACCAACTCCCCATCCTAAGCACCAAGCAAACACTCTAATCCTCTCCCCGAAGCACTCGTTCAGTATCGACTATGGCCGCTGAAAAGGTGTTCTATAAGGCCTCGGAACGCATCCGGGACTTACTCGCAACGGAAACGCCTTGGATCGATCACATTTACGTTGTGCGCTACGTCGACTTCACTGTTAATACTCCCGCAGACGAAGGAGGCACATGCGATGACGGAAAAGCCCCTCGACCGGACGAAGAAGTCAGAAGTGCCATCTTCATCGGGAAATCCGATGAAAGATACGCCGGTACACTCTACGAGACCTATCGCTGGCCGGGTTCTAGCAAATTCAAGCTCGGCGTCACTAGATACGCCAACCTGGAGAGCCACACCCACATGTCCACCGATGCACCCGTCGGTTTCATCTGGAAGAAGGACGCCGAGCACCTCCTCGACATTGTCAAGTCGATCCCAACTCCTGACCCGTCCGCCATCTACGCCCCTGGGAACCTCCCTGATGGCTCAGACCTCCCGCCTCAAGACTCGATTGAATGGGTGACAAGCGTGACTAAGGCGCTACGAACTCGGGGCATGCTTATCGAAAAGAAGCCTACGGACTGGTACATTGATGAATCGGGCGTGTTTCACGAGCGTGGCCGCGCGGAAGCGGGTGTTGGAAAGACCACCCGTGTCGGGACATCTACGTTGGTTGCGCCGCGGACTGGGCAGAACTGAGGGTCATCTGGGAACTTGAGGGAACGGGATTTGCACATGTGTACACATCATGCGATGGAGGCAATACCTAGAGAGATGCGCTGAACATGATACTCGTCAAGAGTCTTTTTCCACTTGGCATGACAACTCCCCGTGTAACTGACCTGATCATCTCGGCAAGAAGCATGGAACGCAGCATGATGATATAGAGGTGACGAAACACGTTCTATTAGTAGCAGGTATGCTAAGCATCTAAATACAGAAGCAAAGCGTATATCGCACCATGTGCTATAGTTTCACATGCTAGTTTCATCAACGGTGAGATCAGCATGCGTACGCCCTCCCCTATAGAAACAAGGTAGTCAAGCTATTGGCCGAGCAACCCCTGGCCTGTCGCAAGGGGTTGACGGTGAACATGGGAGACTGAGTAGCATCAATGCGTCAACCTCTGAGGCTCAGCCCCTACTTGACACGGACGAGTTGATCATTCAAGCAGGTTTAGAACCTGGCACCGGAATCAACCGAGGGCAAGGGTGGCAGGCTACATACATACACTACTACCGGGTGCACCACACTGCGTCGGATGAGCCGGCCGTGATGTACCGGGTGCGTCCCCGTTCAACGGTCTTTGTTTCAGAAACCCGTAGATGTTGGCTTAAACGGCTCGTCCGGAACCCCAGATGTTGGGGTTGGCAGGGGAGAACCTGGAAGTGATGGGGAAACCCAATGTTAGGCGGGCGAAGAATATCATGAATAAGACAAGACAATCACGCCCGACTCGACTCAGTTGACTGAATGTGCAAGGCGCCTCCCTGTAGTCGAAGTCGCGATATCGCATGTTGCACAGTCGCCGGTCGAGAACTGACATGTATCCCGACAAGGTTGCGCCGCAGACTCGGACGCAATTCTCCCATAGGTCAGACAATATCGAGTCACGCACGCAACGCATGCACGGCAGTTGGACGGTTTTGTTAGACGTCAACCAAAGAGAAGGAGAGAGAGCGCAAGCGCAAAAAGCCGCCGGCACGTGGGAAGTGGACTCGACTCGCATACGTAGACGGGATTAGCATCCCGGACTTGGATGCGGGTGAAGCCAGAAGTGACAAGCGCTGAGGCGGGTTGGAAATGACGACTCACGCGGAACATTCTCGTTGATGACGGAGGCTAATATGCCGACGAGGAAATACTACCTAGTTGCGTATGTCCAGAGATAAGGATAACGGACCTAGACTCGCTTCTCCTTGATGTACAAGGCGGTTCTCGAGGACGCCATCTCGTTGTGCATCTGGGCGCTGGGACTAGGACTGCTAGTTCAGCACCCGCTTTGACATCTGCTTTCTTTTTCCATCGGGCTCTAGATCCGACAGGCTGAGAAGCAAGCTGAACCCATGCGAGGCGTCTTGTCTTGTCGTGTACTTCACTGCAACTTCTCGTCAAGTTGCTGTCGAGTCTCCTCATCCTCCCGTTGGCGGCCGAGTCGGGGTTACAGGCTCTCCTAATTAAACGAGAGTGGACGTGATATATCAGGCGGGTGACGTCCATTGTTTGTAATGGTTGCGTGGCACGAAGCCCGTCTCTGAAGCCATGACTTGTTGATTGGCACAATCCGACGCCCAGTTATCCAAGCAATCCAAGCAATCCAAGCCATCTCGAGACCAGTCAAGAGTTGGCGTCGTCTAGGCCCTGGATCGGACTAGCCACCTTGAAAAGTGCAGCGTAACCACGCCGGGTCTAGGCAAAACGATCACGATCAGTTAAAGACGTTGATCTCTGGATGGAGAGTGGCCGAGTGGCACATGGCCCTTTGACAAGCCTGGTCGTGCGCCCGAGGTGGTTGATGGCAACACTAGCCCGTGATGTATGGGATGGGATGCGAAAAGTGGCTTGACCCGTCTCCCTGGTGGACGAACTGGGCTTTTGGCAGGACCTGGGCAACGCGACGAGGCTTGAGACGAGAATGTGGGGGTTTGTGTTGCATCTTGGTATGGATGGATGATGGGATATGCTCTTTTGGCCGAGACTTTACGTGTGAATGTCACCAACGAATGCTCGCTGGGCATAGGGTCTTTGAGCCTTGAAACGGGCATCTAAAATTGTCGGTGCTTATCTTCAACAGCGAACCCCGAGTTGATCTTCAGGGCTCGGTTGCATCGCTCCCTTGATGGTGTCGTTTTGCCCACTTGGCCGATCGACAAGGCCCTCTTCGCAACTAGAATCGCCGCCCGCACGACAGGGAGGTCCTGGGAAACCCGGGTACTATACATGGCAAGGGGAAGGCCGCATGGCAGGCCGGGGGGGGATGATGGCCTGCCAAGAGGGCACAGCACGGAACAGGGGGACATGGGGATCCCTAGAGGGAAAGACACAGAGAGTGATGATGGATGATGCGAGACATGCAGCAAGGGGATTGCATCTGAGTGAACCAAGGTTAATAAGGTGCCGTTGGCGCTTGGAATGGGTTGACTGACAGGCCCGGACATGGAAACAAGTGTCTCTGTCCCTAGTCAAATTGCGGCGCAGAAGACGGGAGCTTGGACTGCTCATGGAACAGGGCAAGGCCCACGGAAGGAAGATCACTTTGTGACCTGGAAGAAATTTTTCTCGATAATGGCCTGAAGTAATGTACGGTACCGTAATAATGGAAGTGGATGCTGGGGAGTCTTTTTGATGGATGGAGCTGATCTGATTTTCGAGACCGTGAGCTCGCTACCCGCATTATGACCTCACTCGGTCACAGCGGTCAGACGGGCCTATAGCACAAGAGATTGGCTATCACGGGAGCAATCTCTGCGGTGAAATTGCAAGACGACGAGGCAGAGAGGATTGCGCATGCGCAGAGGTTGACGATGATGATACTCGTCCTCAATCGCAGTCAGAAACTCGCCCGTCACCACCAGCAACAACAAACCATCCCGTCACCAAATTCCCCCTCCTCCGGACAGTGGAGGACAAGGCACCCTTTCACGCGTCTGGGACTCCAGCCCCTCCATCATCCCACGCACGCGGGCATCCACAGCGACCCGTAACGTGCATAAGCACGGAAGCAGGCACTTTAATACTGGAGCCATGTGCCCTGTGCCTGTGTGCCTGGGCGAGAAAGGAAAAAAACTGGCGACGGTCCAATCTGCCCCTGGCTTTTCGGTGGACAAGGATCTCGGCTTCCCCCCCCCCCTCTTTCTCTCCTCCCCCCTCCCTCTCCGTTGCCCCTCAAGTGTGTCCGTTTCTCCCAGGCACAAAGGACAAAAGAGCTGTTTTGGGTCTGCAGCTCGTCCACCAGTGAGGTCCTGCGGTGACCCTCCAGTTGCTGTCGATGGAGCCCCCCTCCCCTGCATCGTCCCAGACATGCTCTGTTATGTGCCTGGAACAATAGTGCAAAAGAAAAAGCCGTTGCCATGCCAGACTATTTCTTATTCGTTTTTGTCAAAGTCCCCCTCCAGCTCGGGCATCAAGAAGGCCGCAGCTTTCGAGGCCCAGACGTGAAATGTGTGTGAAAGAGAAGACGAACGGGCCATGAAGATGACCGTGTTCCGCGTCCGGGAAAGAGAACCTCCGTTCAAAGTTTTCTCCCCCTTGTCCTTGGTGTCGAGAAACTCGGAACGGGAAGCCTAGAGAGAGATCATCGTTCGTGATCGACCTCCCAAGGCTCTGGCGGTCAGAGGATGATCAATTCCGCTTGTTTATCCTTCAACCACTTTTTACTCTGTCAGAGGCTTTTTTTGTACTACCCGAGCCGGACACATTGGATACCAAAGAGAGGAAGAACTCCCTTCCCCGCCGCTGACGCCTCCGTTCCACCCGGGAGGCAGATTGGGAGATTGAAAAAGAGGCGATTTCCAGCCGCGGGGCGAATAAACGAGAGACCATTCTTTGACTTTTATAAACAGAAGAGGTCTCGGATCGGGAACCGGAAGCGAGGAATTGTTTCGAAAGATGTCAAAGGCATTGACTGATGGTCATCGATGTAATGCTATGGTTGTGTTGCTTCAAACGTTGGGCTAGGTGATGGGCCGTCTAGGGGACTCTCTGCCCTGTGGGTTCCCGTTGCGAGAGCCCGCCCGCCCGCTCTCCAACGCTGCAGTGCCTCTGGGCAGACTCCACCTCCTCAGGACGGGCAGGTACAGAGGTAGGTTTCGTCTCTGCCCCTGATCCCAGCCGGGGGCACCTAGGACAGTCTTGGCCGTCTTTGTCCTTGTCCCTTATTCAACCCCGGCATCCCTGTTGCCGTGAGCGACTCTTGGCTGATGTATGTTGTTGTAACCCAAGTGACTGCGGAGCGAGAATGGGCGTTGTCCATGGCCTGGTGCTCTAGTGATTGTCGTAGCGGATGGTTACAGGGCAGTTGGAGCTGACTGCAACGCTCAAAGGGTCTCGATGCTTTTCCAAAGTACCTAGAGCTACCTCGAAGCTGAATGGAAGCCCTCCCGTCTATTGGATCGCCCGCTTCTGCAGCCTAAACATCTGGCCTGGCCACGCTCTTGCATTCCCACCACCACCACCTCAGGGACATCATCAGGTACCGATTCTGTACCTTTTTTTCGCTCTCCTCAGTGTCCGTCCGTCACCCCAACCTGCAACCTGAGAGCATCCATCACATCCATTCCCATCCGTATCGATTCATCCCTCCCTCCCTCTTAGTGTTGCCCCTGACTCCTGCTTTCTTTGCTCTCTTCTTGTCGTCAGTCACCCTTGGCTTTGTTCTGCTTCATGCTTGTGCTTCTTCTTCTGATTCTTCCAAGCGTCGATCGTTTCCTTCAGTCACCCTCCATCGTCCTCTAGACCCGTCTGCCGTACGTCCTTGGTCACCCTTCTCGTTTCGCTCTCTCTCGATTCCATCCATCCTTCCTTGCTCCCCACACACACAAACCCGCATGACCCTGCAGCTTTGGACGCCCGCTCTCCACCGACCGTCCCACGCGCCGTCTCTCCCTCCTGAAATCCGCGTCTCAGCCGTGCATAAATCTGCCCGATAATACTCCTCAGCCCAGCCTAGGTACCTTGCAGTCCGTGACCTGAGCCGCCGCACGCCAAGTACCTGCCTTGCTCAGGTACCTCTCGCCGCCTCGCCTGTACAATTCCATCACGGCCCCCCCTTACCCTTTTCTACCACCACCACTACCACTACTGCTACCACCAGCACCAACACCAACACCACCTAACCTCCACCGCTGCCACCTCCACTTTCGTTATCACCATCTGCCCGCCGTCGCTTGTCGTCCTTTTTGCGCTTCCATCCTCCTCGATCACCTCCTGCGCTCCTTGTGAGAACTCGGGTCCTCGACGTCCGCTGAGCGACACGCAGAGCCTCTCGATTGAGTCGCTGTCGCCTGTTACTATCGCCCCTGCTTGGTCCTTTGCTCTCTGGCCTTGTCTGCCTGCTTCGCCCTCGTGTCGACCGCATCCTAGTTGCGCCTGATCCATCGTCATTAGCTGAAATCGACGCCTGCCACTTTGCTCGAGTACTGTATACACGAAAATCGCTCGACTATTGCTTCCCTCGAATCTACAACGCTTTTCGCTTCATCGCACCCAAGTCCGTCCAGACACGACACCATCTACTTCGCATCGCTCGACAACGCCCTTACCGTTCTCCGCGTTTCTCATTTCGGCTCGTCGCAACCGAGACATCGATCTCGACCTCGACCGTCACCTTTCCAACTGCCTTGGCCGTTGAGACGCCTGAGCTCAACGTCGCTGCCGCCATCAGGCGCTGTATGAGGTCAAGAGGCCCGCGAGCCTGATCGCTCTTCCAAGCCGTTGCTCGCCATCAACAACACCATGTCCGTCATGTTGCAAACTCCCTCCCGAGCCTCTACTGCCTCCTCGTCGTCGTTCCAACCTATATCACGCCAAAACACCATGTCTTCCTACGACGGTTCGCGCTCTGCGCGCCAATCCAAGCGCTACTCCATGTCGGCCCTGTACATGTCCATCTCGGCCAACGAAGGAGACCTTCAGATTGAGGATGACCTCGCTAAAGGTGAGCATTATATGCCGTGAAGAATTCCAAGATCAAGAGTAAATGATTAACCACATCTACAGCGCAAAAAGCACTTCGTGATCTCAAGTCCAAGATCTCATCTCAGTCTAAGAAGAACTTCGTTCTTGAGAAGGATGTGCGATATCTTGATTCGCGAATTGCGCTACTTATCCAGAACCGTATGGCTTTGGAAGAGGTATGACTGAAATGGTCTCGATGAAGAGAGTTGATTCTAACGCTATCTGCAGCAAAATGAAGTCGCAAGCCATCTCGAGGATGCTCTTGAGATGCAGCAAGGTGTCTTTCCCAACGACGACAAGACGCAAAAATACGGCAACCTCTTGTTTCTTCTGCAATCCGAGCCCAGGCACATTGCCCACCTGTGTAGGCTGGTCTCGATGGCGGAGATCGATTCGCTGCTGCAGACCGTCATGTTTACCATCTACGGAAACCAGTACGAAAGCCGTGAAGAGCATCTCCTTCTCACTATGTTTCAGGTACGTCTTGTCGACGATTTGAACCTTTCAAAGCTCACATGTTTTTCAGTCTGTCTTGACATACCAATTCGACAACACACCCGACTATTCCTCCCTCCTCCGCGCCAACACCCCTGTTTCCCGAATGATGACTACCTATACTCGAAGAGGACCCGGTCAGAGTTTCCTCAAGTCCGTGCTTGCTGATAGAATCAATGGCTTGATCGAGCTGAGGGACCTGGACCTGGAAATTAACCCGCTCAAGGTGTATGAGCGCATGATTGAGCAGATCGAGGAGGATACCGGCCAGCTGCCCCCTCATCTTCCCAAGGGAATTACGGGCGAGCAAGCTGCCGAGAACCCTCAGGTCCAGGCTATCATCGAGCCCCGTCTGACGATGCTGACCGAGATTGCTAATGGCTTCTTGACCACCATCATTGAGGGGCTTGAGGAGGCGCCATACGGCATTCGATGGATCTGCAAGCAGATCAGGAGTTTGACCAAGCGCAAATACCCAGATGCTAACGACCAGGTTATTTGCACTTTGATCGGCGGATTCTTCTTCCTGCGCTTCATCAACCCAGCCATCGTCACGCCGAAATCGTACATGCTCATCGATGGAACCCCGGCCGAGCGACCGCGACGAACCCTGACCTACATCGCCAAGATGCTCCAGAACCTCGCGAACAAGCCATCCTACGCCAAGGAGCCGTACATGGCCAAGCTTCAGCCTTTTATCCATCAGAACAAGGACAGAATCAACAAGTTCATGCTCGATCTTTGCGAAGTCCAGGACTTTTACGAGAGCCTCGAGATGGACAATTACGTTGCGCTGTCCAAGAAGGACCTCGAGCTCGAGATTACCCTCAACGAAGTGTACGCCATGCACGGATTGATCGACAAGCACCACAACGAACTGTGCAAAGACGAAAGCTCGCATCTCGCCATCATCATGGCCGAGTTGGGAACATCACCAGCCCAAGTGCCTCGCAAGGAGAACAGGGTCATCAACCTCCCTCTGTTCAGCAGATGGGAGACTGCCATTGACGACCTGACAGCAGCCCTGGATATCACGCAGGAGGAAGTGTATTTTATGGAAGCCAAGTCCATCTTTGTGCAGGTTATGCGATCGATTCCTTCCACGAGCAGCGTGGCCCGTCGCCCGCTACGACTCGAGCGCATCGCAGACGCCGCCGCAACAAGCCGCAACGATGCTGTGATGGTTCGAAAGGGTATTCGAGCTATGGAGCTGTTGTCTCAGCTTCAAGAACTGCGCGTCATCGACAAGAGCGATCAGTTTGGACTCCTTCGAGATGAAGTTGAGCAGGAGCTTCAACACCTGGGCTCTCTCAAGGAGGGTGTGCTTACCGAGACGTCGAAGCTGCAGGAGGTGTACAAGACGATCCGAGACCACAACGTCTACCTGAACGGACAGCTCGAGACCTACAAGAGCTACCTGCATAATGTGCGATCGCAGAGTGAGGGCACAAAGAGAAAGCAGCAGAAGCAGCAGGTGCTTGGTCCTTACAAGTTCACCCATCAGCAACTCGAGAAGGAGGGTGTCATTCAGAAGAGCAATGTTCCCGACAACAGACGGGCCAACATCTACTTCAACTTTACAAGTCCCTTGCCGGGAACCTTTGTTATTTCCTTGCATTACAAGGGTAAGTTTCTTTGTTATTCTGAGCCGAGCCGAGCAACATGCTAATCTGTGTATAGGCCGCAACAGGGGTTTGCTCGAACTGGACCTCAAGCTGGATGACCTGCTTGAGATGCAAAAGGACAACCAGGACGATCTGGATCTTGAATACGTCCAGTTCAATGTGCCAAAGGTGCTGGCTCTGCTCAACAAGCGCTTCGCTCGAAAGAAGGGCTGGTAGACGATCTATGACAACACACACGACTCTCAGCCGAACATCCATCTCGACGCATATTGATCCATGTACTACGACCACATCAAACGGAGGGGCTTGGCGTTATGGACACTGATACCACGGAATATTCTGTTCTCTTTACCTACTACTACTACCTTGAGTCAGTAAGCTGACTGGCTGGGAGGATTGCTGCCATTGTTTCTTTTGTGCTGTTTTCATTTGTCAGTTTTTCTTCTCGACATGAGCGTCTGTTTCATGTGTTCTTTGTGAGTGATTGATGGGTGCGCTGGGGGTTTGTTTCTTTTATATACCGAACGCTTGCTTGCCTGCTTCCTTGCTTGTTTCTTGGACGGCGGTATTCTGCTTCGGCTGGTCCGCAGTGGGAGTTTGTATGCGGCGCCTTGATTATCTATGTATGCATGCTGGTAGTTTGTCCACGGGGCGAACTGTTCCGTTGGGACACGAGGAGTCATGGCTCAGACGGAGGCATAGTTGGCACCTAGTCTGGAGCCATGCTCATAATGAAGGAAGGATTTCAATGTCTGCGATACTGTACATGTCCCAGCTGTGCTAGCTTTGTTAATCTATGTATGTGTATATGTCAATATGATGCTAGTTATGCCAATTTCCACAATGACTGTGAAGTGAAGTGACCTGGCTGAGTGAGACATGGACTGCCAAACTCGTCGTGATGGAGGCTTGTGAATGGTACCCAATGTTTGTTTCACCTGCTTGCCACGTCCACGTCCCCGGGTAGCGGCCGTGCCAATGAGAACGTGTACCGACTACCTGCCATGCCGGGCTAGATGAGTTGGCAGGCCGGGTCAGAGATGGGCTCTGCTTATGGGCTCTTCTGGAAGGTGATTCGCTGGAGGTCGAGGTAGGCCTCAAGAATCAATCACGCCTCGGATGTAAGACGGCAGAGCCGCCTGGAGATTAATTGCTGGCAGATTGGCGAGGGTCAAGTCTGAAAGGGGAACGAACGAGCTGGGTAAGGATGTAGATAGAAGTACATTCTTGGTAACTATACATGTGTGATAGCGACAGGAGGTATCTCTCTAGCTCTAATCAATCTGTCTCTCTGATCTCATAAATCATAACCGTGGCCGTCATAATCGTTACAATACCATGTACAAAACCGAACCTGAGATAATGAAAAGTGTTGTCACAATCTGTCATCGAACCAAAGAAAGTATAACGTTGCACAAAAGACATCATAGCAACAATATCATACCATATCAAACACGCTCTCCTCTCTCCATGTCGTTCACCTCATCTCTAGGGGGCTGCCCGCCCCAGGGCCACGTCAACCTCCCACTGCTAGTCCGCAGCCACGGCCACGTGCCGCTGCTACGTCTCAACCGAGCAACGGAGCGACTATCCGGGATGTCCGTGTCACGGGTCTTGCGGCGCAGGAGACGGGCAGGTACAGCACCGACGACAGCAAGCTTGCGAAGGAGGAGGCCGAATGAGCGGGTCTGGAGGAGGGTTATGAGTAACATGAATGGGACGCAGACGAGGATCATAGTGAGGGCGAAGCGCCAGTCTGTTGCGGGGATGGTGAAGACTGTCATGCCAAAGACGGACTAGAATGTGTTAGTGAGGGCTTCTTTGCAACACTGACGAGACGGTAGAATTTAATGCAAGTGTTTCGGATAGGAACTTACCGTGACAAAAGTCAGGGGCAGAAAGATCATGCTAATCATGGTCAGGATGCGGATATTGTCTCCCTGCTCGATGGCCCTTCGACTCTCCTTGATGGAACTTCCGCTGAAGAGTTGATCCCTCAGGTTTTCGATCTCCTTGCGGGTACGGGCGTTCTGCTTGAGAACTTCACCAAGTTCTTGCACAACCTTGTCGAGCTCACGGCGCAAGTTGGCCATATGCTCACGATAGGCGGCAGCATCAGCAGTCTCTGGCGACGGATGCGGCCACAGAGTTGCGTGGGTGCCGGCCCAGAAGCTGTCAGTAAAGGTCTCGTAGTAGGCGTCCATCATGGCCCTGATGCTGTTATTAACCACGGCCAGGGTGTTGTACGCCCAAAAGTAGCGTCGAATGTAAGTGAAGTGCTTGTCCTCAAAGAGGAGCTTGTCACGCAGCTTGGGGTCAAACATGAACTCGGTCTGTCACTTGTTAGTAGAGGATCAGCTGAGATAGAGGAAGGGAAGTTACAGGAGGAGTGATGAGCTTGGTAACTCTCTCGTGAAGAAACTGGTTGCGCGTTCTGGCGTCTCGATATTCCGAAATGAGGAGATCTAGGAATGCAGACGGTCCGTTGATGTACTTCTTGCGCTGGTACTCCTCGCCTCTAACAGTGTGGGAGTTGTCTGGGAAGCTCTGGATAGCAAGAAGATGCCACGGTCCAAAGGTCTCAAACAAGACACCCTCTTTTGTACGCTCCCGGCGTGTTCGCCAAGGAGGCGCCCTGGTGGACTCACCCCCGAGAGAGAGAGCCAGAACGGCACCACACTCGGCAATGTCGATGTGATCACCGCTTCGCTTGTCGAAAGGACGCTTGTCGAAGCGCTGCCAGGGAGCAGGCTCCAACCGCGGGGCGACGACGGTGTAGTATTTGAAGGCAAAGAAGAAAGAGCGCTGACGTAGATTGGCTATGGTCCGAGGGGGTGGCGGTAGTTCCACAGGTAAAGACATTGGTGAAGAGGGAGAGATAAAGGGCGAGCTGGATATAGCTGGGGAAGGGGGACGCTCATAAGCGCGGTTCATGAACGCGTGAGTGCGGCCAGGGTTTGGCTGATCAGTAAGGAGATATCCCAGCAGCTCAGACATGTCAAAGTGAGAGGACATGGCAACGTGAAGAGCGGCCAGAGCGAGAGGCGTTGGCTCCTGGACGATACTGCCATTTATGTCAGTTTCTCTTCTTCATTCTCAAATACACATGGTATGAGTACGTACGTGATACGGCCAACAGACTCACTATTCATGTTGACGTCCCGAATAGTATCCCACACAGTTGGCGCATCGACACCAGGGGCTGGGTTCTCCTCCTGCTCAGTACAATTGTCCTTGACGTCTGACGGATCCTCAGAATCGCTATCTGCGCTCAGCTTCTCCATCTCGAGGTTCCTATGGACCTCGTAGACTTCAAAGGTGCACTGATTGTAACACTCGCGCTCATAAGCGGCAAAGTCACGAAAGGGCGCAGATAGGTTGATGTCGGCTCGACGCTTGATGGCCTCGTCGAGGAGAGAGGCCATTTCTGGCGTAAAGTCTGTGTCACGGAGATAGCGTAGGAGCACGTCGTCAGACAAGTGCATCTGTTTGAGGGGACTTCGGACTACATTGAGTGCATAGTCCTCGACCTCACGTGTGGTTGCGGTGCCAGTCGAGTCCAGTAGCGGGATGAAGTTGACATCGTCATCCTGCGTGTAGACGGCGCGGTGACTACCACTTGGAGAGCTCGTAAAGGGACGAGATTCAGCAGTGAAAGAAGGCCGCTCCCTCGTACTCTCAAAAGTAGAGGCTCGAGGACGACGATGCAGGGGAGACAGACGGGCAGAGTCAGTTGCAAAGATGGGACCGCTGTCCGCTCTCAGGGGCGGCGTGAAGGCACCCTCGACAGTCTCGCGGCGGCGAGGGGCGAGGCTATCTTGGAGACCACGGAGAGTGCGGACATATTGATCATGAAAGAGGTCGGCTGCCCTGACGAAGTCGTCTAGAGCTTGTGGAGTTGGTTGTGTTGATATTGCTGTGGTCATTGACACATAAACGTCACTTGGCTAAAGATTATGGATAAATGCCCATATTCAACTTGAACTGAACAGGGCTATAAAGATGTTGGAAACACGTCGATATGGGCGGGAGAGTAGAGCCCTATTTCTACTCCTCCTCATCCCCCCTTCACTTCAGGTTGGGCAGCATGATGCTTCGGAGGACCCCGACGGATCTGCGGCTGAGCCCAGCTCGGTCAACCTCCATGGGTTAAAGCAGAAAGGGCAAACGAAATCCTTCTGCGCAGTAGGGCGAGAGGATGCACGATTAAGCTGCTTCTAGCGCGACAAGGCAACCGAGCACGCCTACACCTTTTGTCGCACGTGGGGGGGCCCGAGGCAGCACAGCAGGGACGGGACGCTTGTCTATAACAGGGCTGTAGGAGGTTTGAGCTTGACTCATGCGGGAAAGTCGGAGTTGTGCAAGGGGATTGGGATTCGTAGGACTTTGAAGGGGGGGGAACAAGGTTGAGGCTGTACCCGAAGGGCGTTGGTCGATCTCGTCGCTTCGGCTCGGCTCATGACGGCTGAAGACGGTATGACGCTTCTTCCGCGATCGTGATGGTTGCACAGATGAGCTCTTGTTGGTTGTTGGTTGCGTCGACATTTGATAGGCGTAGAAAGTTGCTTGATAATATCACCGAAACTACAGTCGCACACAGGTCAAAGGGAAAAACAAGAGACGAGGACGACAAAGAGTCTCTAACTCCTCTTAGTATCCTACCTTTCTTATGCCTAAATTTAGTTAATAGTCATGATGAAATTACTAACGTTAAAAAAGAACTAAGCTTTCAAAAAAAAAAAAAATCATATAATAACCTTTGAACATCTTTATAAGTGTCCTTAGGAGAGCAAATGATGTCCTTTCCTACCAGCTTTCTGCCAAGACCAATCCTCGCATCATGGCATCTGAAGAGTCCGCCATCACGATCCAGTTCACCACTGTATCAAAGCTGTTTGAAGAGATCTATTCTGATGATGCCCGAGATGCCCTTGTGGTGCAAAGTATGTTGCTATCTGTCTGATTTGTAGATACCTATCTAGGTAACTAATTTCCGACGCAGATGTCTCCCAGCAAGATTACATCGACATCGACAATGAGCGAGAGCTTCGGAGGCGCAAGTTTCGCCTCAAGCGATACTACTCTGAGCGCCAGATACTCATCGTGACCATTCCAACCGAGGCTCACGAGCTTCTGTATGCACCCCTGTCCGGACACATTCACGCTGCTGTTATACAGATGGGGCTGGGTTCCCAGTGGACTGCGATGGGCTCCACGACGTGGCGAGACCATCGGAATGGAGATGAAGGCGAGGGAGACTCAAGCGGCGGTCCAAGAAATCGCCAAGGTCCTCGTTGGCCGACGCTTATCATCGAATCGGGATATTCGCAGACTCTAGAAAGTCTAAGAAGAGACATGAAGTGGTGGTTCAGCGCCTCGAATTACCAAGTCAAGATTGTTCTCCTCGTCAAGCTCGACCCGAGTTCTGAGGAGATCATCATGGAAACGTGGCAAGTTGCGCAGGGCGAAACAACAAGCACCGAGCCTAGCTGTTCTCAGGTCATCACCGTCAGTGGAGGGCCCAACGCGGACACGCCCGATAGTGTGTCTGGAGGACCACTACGATTGGATTTTGAGCTCCTTTTCCTCAGAGCGCCACGGGAAGGAGAGGGTGATATAGTCCTGCCCGTCGATGTACTTCAGCTGCTGGCTGGAATAGCTAGGGAGGGACTAGAGGCCACCATCTAAGTCTTTTCGACAAAGTTACAAGTAACTTGGGATGAATATTCTAAAATGATACTCTAATACAATTAATGCTTTAGGTTGTTTTTCTTTTAGCGGCGACCCTTGGAGGAAATTAAACTAACTTATGTGTGCTGATGTGTCTCGATTATTTCTTGACCTGCACGGGAAGATGAGATGCAGCAATGGTTACGCACGTGATGGATGGGTTTTCGATCGGCATTGAAGGTTGCTTGATAATCCCACCGAAGCGAAGCTGTTTGCCTACGTAGATAACTTTGCGACCCAGGTACGTCATCATGGTTCGCCAACACCTCTCAAGGAGCCGGGCGAACCGTGGGGAGGTTCAAAATGAAGGGGGGCGCCATATCGCGGGGGTTTGATTACTCCGCCTGCCATTGAGCGTCAAGAGATTGTCGTTTCAGAGGCAGATGGGCTGGTCTGGGCCAACTTCTACTCGTGGGCGCTTGTGCTTGAGCAAATCCTCTTACGTACGGGTCTAGTGATACGCCCGTCCTAGCACCTTGAGCCTCACCTCGGATGCATCCCTCCACGTGCCGACTTCGGCTGGCTCTGCTTTGACACCTCCCGCCCTGCATTGAGATCGTCCGTGTGACCTTGACACGATGGCATCAGCACAACTGACAGCTGCATGTCTCGGTCCCTCTGCAAGTTTAACAGGATTCTATGCACGTCGTATCGAAACTCTCATGTCTAGAGTCCCTCATCCGACAGACCTAACGTGTTTTCCGCCTAGCTCCAAGCCTCCAAACCAATGTTCCCCTGATATCATTCCCTTCGTGTCCTCGTAACTCTATTAGACAATCAACATCCTCCAACCCCATGTGTTAATATCCATCACCGTCAAAGTCCAAATCAGGTGCGTGTCTCGACAAATGCCGACGTAGCCAACAGCGAACCAACCGTTGCAGGCTGTCCCTAGGACGCCACAGTGACAGGCTTGGCCGCCGGCGCTGCGGGCTTCTCGGTGCTGTCAACCTCCATGGCGTCGTCACCCTGTCCCTCACCCTCACCCTCGACCTCCTCCTCTTCGAGCTCATCCTCACTCTCGCCCTCGATGTCGACACTGCCGTCCTCAGACATCTCGTCCTCTTCCTGGGGGGTCTCTGTCTCATTCTCCACGCCAGCCATCTCGGAGTCATCTCCGTTCTTGGCCTTGGCCGCAGCCTCAGCCTCAGCCTCGGCGGCCTCTTCTGCGGCCTCCTCTGCACCGTATTCGTCGCCGTCAGCGACAAGATCGGCCTCAGGTTGCTCGGGAGGGAACTCGGCAGGAGCAGAAGCCTCGGAATCCCTAGTCATGTTAGCTTTGGGCATTTGTGATGGACAACTTATTCGACTAACCACTTGATGGCAAAGCGAGTAACTCGGGGCTTCTCTGCCAAAACGTTTCGCTTCACCCGCTCGATGATGGGCTTGGCTGGAGGTTCCGCGTTGAGCTCCTCAGAGTCGTATTCATTGTTGACGTAGTAGCCAACTCGAACAAATTCTCGTCCATCGTAGGCGCAGGTCAGGAGGATGACAGTAACGCCAAGGATGTCGGTCTCGGGGATGCGTGTGGTGTTGGGGGCGTCGGCCTCGAAGATGAACTTGTTAACGCCGACGGGGATGGGGCCGACGAGGAGGGAGTCGAGCTCTTGGTCCCATTGATCGCTGCGGGGCGTTAGAAAGAAGCGGTGTGATGAGAACAAAGAAGCTCTAGCTTACGAGGTGGCAGATCCAACGTAGGTGAGCTTCCACTCGAGATCTGTCCTGAATTAGCGACGCGGTTTTGCACAAGGCAGTGGCCAAACGAACCCTTCTCGAGTTGTTCGAGGCACTCGAATGTGATCTCAAACTCGTACTTGTCGGTGAACTTGGCAGGGTTGTTGTTCACCTTGACGCCCAGGAGCGACACGACAGACATGATGGCGAGGGAGGAGGAGAGACTGATGGGTGTTTGCGATGGGGGGTAAAGCCAAGTCGAAGAATGCGCAATGCGAGAGGCAACGGAAGGCTGTAGAGGACGGTGATGGTGTATGAGAGAGTCTGCTCTTGATAAAGCGTACGACAAGAAGTGAAGCAAAAAATAGATGGAGAAAAAGGGGGGGATAGCGTGGATAGTGTTGGACGATATAGAGCGGCGAGCTAGTGGTTTGGTTTGAAAGAGCAAAGAAAACAAGAGCGGATCGAATGTGGTTGCGATGGGCGATGGGTGGTCGAGGAAAAAGCCAGGGCAGGCAAGGCAAGAACAATGGGCATGGATGGGCATGGGCCTGGGCGGACGCGTTTCGGGTCGCACCCCGCGTAGAGGGGTTGCATGGACGCGAACCTGCTGGAAAGCGGAAATTACGAGTCAGCTGAGATGTCATGTGATGTATTCTATTGAGACTGCTTGCACGCTTGATCCTCAGGCCCCACATGCAGAGCTGCCTGCTTGCGGCTCTGTCACCGCCCGGAGCTCACTAGGCCGCTTTCAGTTTCTGCCGTCTCAACTTGCTCAAGGCTCTTCGTTCTTTGTTGAAGCTTTCGGACATTGCAGGCTCTCCTCAAACATCTGCGCTCTAGCCTGAGCCACGACACGACTTTCGACCGTCTTTGCTTACTATACGTGGCGCTTATTCTGCCGCTTTTAGGGTTTTCTCTCCTTATCGCCGAGTCCAGCTTTTGCTCAATCGGGGCCAGTTGGCTCGTCTTTGAGCTTGCCCGTGTTCGCGACAAGTCTCACCACATCTTCAACCACCGCATCAGGGGTTTTACTCCCTTCAATCGGTTCCGTCGCGCTTCTACGACCGACGCAAACGCGATCCCTTTATCGAAAGACGTACATCCTGTTTTTGCATTTTCGTCGCCGACTGCTAGATCGCGAGTGAGAACCCTTCACGCTTAGCCCCTGTGGCCTTGGAGCAGTGCCCTGCCCATCGACGACGCGCTCGTAGCCGGCGTTCGAGTCGCGACCCCGATCTTTTCCTCCAGTACTATTCTTGAACATTACAATATGGCTGCCGAAGGTGCTTCATGGGGCGGAGAGGATGTTGGGGCTCCCCAGGGTGATCAAGTTCAGCATAGCGAGGAACAAGTTGATAACTTTGCTCAAGACTCCCTTGTCTCTGGTGATGCAGCGGATAATGGTACAGAAGATGGAGGAGAATATGATCCAGAGTCGGTCACGATTGGCACTCCCGTCCAGGTTCCTGAAAGAGCTGCTTCCGCCACGGCTCAACGTCAGCCTTCCAAGCCAAAGATGTCCGGTGGTTTCATAGTGGAGGCATCTGACGATGACGATGACGAGGATGAGGAACCAACTTCTGATGCTCCCAAGGTGGAATCTGTTCCATCTCAAAACCAGCCGGAGCCTTCTACTGCGTCTCACCAAACCAATATCCCAGCCCCTGCCGCCGTCCCTTCTCCTGTTGCCTCATCCAATGTGACTCCAGCCTTTGGTGGTCTCGATCCAGTTGCCCTGCTCGAAGCTCGTGTCAAGCAGGATCCCCGTGGAGATATGGATGCGTGGCTTAATCTGATTGCCGACCACAGACGCTCCAGCCGACTGGACCAGGCTCGAACTACTTACAACCAGTTTCTAGAAATCTTTCCGCAAGCTGTAAGTTGACAAACCAGACTCTATATAGTGCAGCAGCTGACCATTTTGAAGGCTGATATCTGGGTCGAATGGATCGAGATGGAGCTTGGGCTCGACAACTTTGTCGACGCTGAGCAGCTCTTTGGAAGATGCCTCATGACAGTCCCCAACGTCAAGCTGTGGACCGTCTACCTCAACTACATCCGTCGGCGCAACGACCTAAACAACGATGCGTCTGGACAAGCTCGAAGGACCATCACACAATCCTACGAGTTTGTTATCGACAACATCGGTGTGGATCGGGATTCGGGCAACATCTGGCAGGATTACGTCCAGTTCATCAAGAATGGTCCAGGCCAGATTGGCGGCACAGGATGGCAGGATCAGCAAAAGATGGACCAACTGCGCAAGGTCTATCAGCGCGCTATTTCAGTGCCCATGCTCACTGTCAACAACCTGTGGAAGGAATATGACCAGTTTGAGATGGGACTGAACAAGATAACTGTAAGTCTCATTTCATCTGCTTGATGAATGTACTAACCTTGGCCGACAGGGTCGCAAATTCATCCAAGAACGATCACCGGGATACATGTCAGCCAAGAGTGCCAACATTGCGCTTGACAACATTACACGGCACCTCAAGCGCACAAACCTTCCAAGGCTTCCTCCTGCTCCTGGCTTCGACGGCGACCAGGAGTTCCGGGATCAAATCGAGATGTGGAAGAAGTGGATTGCTTGGGAAAAGGAGGATCCGCTGGTGCTCAAGGTTGACGAGCCCAAGGTCTTCAACCAGAGGGTTCTCTACTGCTACAAGCAAGCATTAATGGCATCGCGATTCTGGCCCGAGATTTGGGTGGACGCTGCCGAGTGGTGCTTCCAGAACAATGTGCGCGACAACGACAAAGAGATGGGCACCGAACTGCTTCTAGAGGGCATTCGGGCGAACCCAGAGAGTGTTTTGCTTGCTCTGAAGCAGGCTGACCACATTGAAGCCAACTACCCAGCCAAGGAGGGTGACAAGTCGGAATATGCCAAGGCAGTCCGCAAGCCCTACGACGATGTACTGGAGACCTTGTATGAGATGGGAGACAAGGTCAAGGAGCGAGAGAAGATGGAGGTGATGGCCTTGAAACAGGCGGCGGCGCAAGATCCCGTCCAGGCATCGATTGAGCAGAACGATGCCGACGATGATGACGACGACAAACCCAAGAGGTCCCCGATCGAGGAAAGGATCCTCGCCATCCAAAAGTCCTACTCGAGCGAGACGCTACTATTGTCACGTACCATCTCGTACGTCTGGATTGCCCTTGCTCGAGCTATGCGTCGTATTCAAGGTAAAGGCAACCAGTCGGAGGGCGGTCTGCGCAAGGTCTTTACGGACGCGCGCCAAAAGGGGCGACTTACGAGCGATGTGTATGTTGCCGTC